AAACATGAGTGACGAAGAATTAAAAAAAACGCGTCGGAATATCACCCCTCTAACTAAATCTGGCGTTCGTGCGAGTTCATGCACTGGCTGTTAATGCCAATAATGGCCAGGTCGAGCAAAAAATGCGAGTGACAAGTACTAATAATTAGTTTGACACACAACCTGTTCATGGATAGAAACAAGATACCTGCGTGCATGGCAAAAACGCCTCCAATGAAAACCCTTTCTGAAGAAACTCCCCTACAGTCTACACATTGAAATAAAAAAAAAATACATAGCTAGCCCCCCCCCCCTTTTCGCCCCTCTAAGTCCAGATACTTGTAATCATGACGTTCTCTGATGCTATATCATTTTTAACCTTTCTTGATCCTCAGAGACATTGCAGGAAGGCAAACATAATAAATGAATAAAAAGCCTTCCAGGTCGTTATAATTATTTGGACTAAGTCCCCTCTTTTTTGCTACATGTAGGAAAAAAATCACCTAATTACGACAGCAGAACCAGCTCACAGAGACCCACAAGAAGAAACCTGAGCTGTGATACTCCGGAACTAATTCTTTAATAAAGACAATTCGGGATAAATTGGAACCAGTTACTAACCCATGTTTCAACAATAGTCCTATGACATAGGACGTACACTGTATATGAAGGCGTGAACTTCATATTTTGGACTATCTATAATATGTGCTCTCATGTCTTATACCGCATATCATTTTACATTTAAGATTTGTTGCTGAGCTTTTTTTACTGTTCCCATCTCCGAATCCCTTAAATAGAATTTTTTTTCAAACCTCACAGTAGTTCAATAACTACTATATGTCTTTGCATAAATAAGTATGCAGGGTATATTTCAAAACATATTTCTTCTTCAGGACTTTTAATTGATTTACTTTTCAATACTGCATTGGGAAAAGGGGGGGGGGGGGGGGTATACAAGTAACTTTATTTTGTGACACAGTATATAATATAATTAGATACAAATCTCTAATGATCCCTAGGGGGGAGGGGGTCAGATTTAGATATTTGTATAGAGATGTATATATGCGAGTATTGGCAGTAATGGTTATGGTGTGTGTGTGAGGGGGGGGGGGGGAGGGGGTTCAGATCAAAGATCGTTTCTATAATTCTAAATCTTTTAGTTTTTACCATTTCACTCTTTTCTTTATCCTTTGATCTCTATTATATTTGTCCTAAACATGCGTGAAATATTTGCCACTGGACATAAGGCAACCAAAAAACAATCAACGTATTCTTTATATTTCATCATTTCTTTATTATGTTATCTATAGGTTTGGTCCCGCCCCTTATCTATTGTTTGCACATTATTCTCTCTATGTAAACCCAATTCCTGTCCTGATAAATGGTGACTCATGCATAGCATCATATGTGGTTATTAAAACAAGAAACATATTCATATTATAATAATTTACTGTATGCTTGGACTTATAGATAGATGTCATTAGTCCCAGATCATGTAATAAAGTAGGTCTTATAAAAATACAATAGCATTGTAATGATGATTATATATATGTATATATATTTAACAATGCCAATTTTTGGGAAAAAAAGGTAGGGACAAGGCGTTTTTAAAACATATTAATGGGGCGCGTTTTTTGTTCTTCGGTAGTGAGCCAGAAGAAGTCCATTTCTGTTTTTTTTTTTTTTGCATTGGGAAGATCTTCTGGCTCTCTTCCACCTATTCTTTTTTGGTAGGTTGTTTAGACGGCAGAGGCACATAACAAACATATGGCGTCGTTTAGTCTAAATGACTAATAAATTTATGAATGCAGATATATTAGAATGTGAGCTGTGTTATAAACGTTTTTATGGTATGACAGCCTTAGTAGGACATCCCTGTAGGACGATAAGCTAGATAAATATAAGAACTACACCGTCGGACAATAACAGTTAAGGGACGATTATTTGATATTCTAGGGAAGGGATTTTAATTGATTGGTGTTTAACGCTACTTTGAACACTATTGGGCTATTCCGTGGTGGTCAGTTTAAATTTATAGATGAAGGATAGTGAAGGGAAGAGAGGGTATTATTATTCATTTTAATCTGTCGCTAATCATGCCTATTTTTCAGCTCATACCAGGCAACCATATTCATATATGAAATCCTTCTGTCCCCCACCCCAACAAATAGATAAATATCGAATGGTTTTCCACTTATTTAACACAATTTTAAATTGATTGATTGTTTGTTGCTAATTTTGAACGCCCAGTGACAAATATTTCATGCTTGTTCAGGAAAACACGAATTTAGAAGTCAGGTATATGATATAAAAACGAAGAGATGGGATGGGGTATGATTGCTAATAAGGCAACTATCCACCGGAGTTCAAATATGAAGTGGATGTAAGCAATTATAGACAGTCGTAAGGCCTTCAACAATGGCAAAAACCTGATACTGTAAAGTCGTCTATAAAAGGCCCGATATGAAAAGTGTGAACATTTCAAACGAAAAAACTAATGGCCTAATTATACATAACAAAACAATTTACAAAATATCAAATATGAGTCGAGACATGAACCAACGACAACCACTGAATTACAGGCTCCTGACCTGGGACAGGCAAATAAAGAATATGGTAGGGTTGATTTAAAAACGAAGATGTGGTATGATTGCAAATGAGACAACTCTCCACAAGAGACCATATTACACAGAAATCAACAGCTATAAGTCACCGTACGGCCTTTGACAATAAGCAAAGCATACACCGCATAGTCAGCTATAAAAGGCCCCGAAATCACAAATGTAAAACATTTCAAACGAGAAAACTAACGGCCGAATTAATGTACAAAAAAATGAACGAAACACAAATATGTATAACACAGCAACAAACGGCAACTACTGAATTACAGGCTCCTGACTTGGGTCAAGCACATACATACAGAATGTGGCAGGGTTAAACATGTTAGCGGGATCCCAATCCTCCCCCTAACCTGGGACAGTGGAGTAATAGTACAACAACATGTTTGTGAGCACTCAACCCATCCCGAAGCTGGGACAGTGGTGTAACAGTACAATAAAAGATCAACCTGCACTAATCAGTTGCAATTAGTCAAAAGATCGGTACGAGACACACACAAAAAACTAACATTAAGACAAAAGACACAAAGCACCGACATTAGAGTATTTTTAATTACTCAGTGGAAGTTTGCTCAAAGCTAATAACAACTAGTACGGAAATAAATCTTGTTATCCCAGACTGAAGTATCAATCAGTACACAACGCGCGGCAAAGGATTTATTAAAAAAGAAAACCGTCTGAGAAACGTCTGGTTTACGTTGTATATAGATATAAGAAGATGTGGTATGAGTGCCAATGAGACAACTCTCCATCCAAGTCATAATTTGTAAACCATTATAGGTCAAAGTACGGTTTTCAACACGGAGCCTTGACTCACACCGAACAGCAAGCTATAAAAGCCCCCCCCCCCCCCCCCCAAAAATGACTAGTGTAAAACCATTCAAACGGGAAAACCAACGGTGCCGTCTAATCTATTAAAAAAAAACGATATACTTGCATATAGATCCATATACAATGAAAGTTTTTGAAAAGTTGTGGTCCGAACGTTTTGACCATCAAAATTTTGCAATAGAAATAATACTTAGGACCAGAAGATTTTAACAGCCAGTGCAGGACTCGCACGAACGCCAGATTTAGTTTGAGGGCGATATTCTGACGCGTTTTTTAATTCTTGGTCACTTATGTTTAGAGAGAAAGGAGAGAAATCCAAACAATTACCGACCAATCACAAACGTTGTTGCAAATTTGACCTTATGACGTCAAAGAATTTCCCATAATGCAATTATTGCATATAAATAAAAAAAACTACTATACCAATTGAATAAAAAATATTGCATTAAAACAAGGATTTGTATATTGATCCTTAATTAAAATGACAAGTTATACCAATTGAATAAAAAATATTGCATTTGAATGACAAATTATACCATTTGAATAAAAAATATTGCATTTAAATGAAAAAAATATACCATTTAAATGAAAAAATATACCATTCAAATAAAAAAATATTGCATTTAAATGAAGAAATATATCATTTAAATAAAAAATATTGCATTTAAATGAAAAATATCAAATTTTTGCAACCAATAACATGCCATACTCTGAGCAATCCTATTGTAGATGAAAGATTGATTGATTGTTGCTTGTTCAACGTCCAGTGGTTAATATTTCAACTCTGAGCAATCATATTGTAGGTGAAAGATTGATTGATTGTTGCTTGTTTAACGTCCAGTGGTAAATTTTTCAACTCTGAGAATCCTATTGTAGTTGAAAGATTGATTGAGTATTACTTGCCTAACGTCAAGTGACACATATTTCAACTAAGAGCAATTATATGGTATGTGAATGATTAAATTGATTGTTGCTTGCTTGACGTCCAGTGGCATATATTTCAACTTTGAGCAATCCTATCGTAGGTTAATGATTGATTGAATGTTACTTGCTTAACGTCCAGTGGAAAATATTTCAACTCTGAGCAATCCTATTGTAGGTGACGGATTGATTGATTGTTGATTGTTTTATGTCCAGATGCAAATATTTCAAGTATTAATAGAACGATAAAAGAGGTTGCTCGTAGCACATGCAGATGTTAATATTACACTTTACAACAATTAAATAACCCTTTACAAAACTAAGTTTTACCCTAAGGTTATTGTCCGTTTCACTATATATATAATAACAAAGATTTGACCTACCTGTGTCAAGTGAGGATGTAAACAAGACACCACATGGTGTTTTATTTACCTTCATACTGTATCGTTAGGGTTGCTGGTAAAGGTAACATGACCTCGGTAGAAAAATGTCTCAGGACACAAACTGTTTGTCAGATATGGAAAACGGAGTGCATGTCGAATACTCTGGAGATTCTAACGAATCATTTAATACGGAATCAGCTCCCATATTGAATGTTGATTCATTCGCATTATTCGGTCGACCATCTTTCCTTCGAACACGATGGTGGGACACAAAAAGAAGAAAAACATTTTCCTGGATAGGAAAAATCGTCTCTATGCTATTGTATATAGCATACATGGTGTATGCTATATGGTATGATAATGTTAATGCTTTCTTATTGCTGTTTGACACCTGTATTGTTAGTTTATGGTTAGCAGCACATGCAGAAAGATCTAGGAAACTGTTCATCATAGCAGGGAGGAAAATCGTCAAAGCCAACAGGAAAGTTAATACAAAAATTCCTTATTTAAGAATGTAAGTATAAGTGATAACACGACATATGAAAATTAGAAGATGTGGTATAATTGCAAATGAGACAAGTCTCCACAAGAGACCAAATGACATAGAAGTTAACAACTATATGTCACCGCACGGCCTTCAACAATGAGCAACGCCCATACTGCATAGTCAGCTATAAAAGGCCCCGAAAAATCAAATGTAAAACGATTCAAACGAGAAAAGTAACAGCCTTATTTATGTACAAAATAATGAACAAAAAACAAACATGATATTCAGTAACAAACGATAACCACTGAATTACAGGCCCCTTACTTAGGACAGGCACATACAGAATGTGGCGGGGCTAAACTAGTTTGAAGGCGCAAACCCTCCCCCTAACCTGGGACAATGGTGCATATAAGAATAAACTATAAAAATCAGTTGAAAAGGGCTAAACTAATCAGATCGATACAAAGCAGAAATACATCTAACAAAAACACAGACCGAAAGTGGCAGGGTACTTATACATCCCCACAACAAAAAAATACACTAAGTACAGATCTGAGAGTACTCGCAGTTACTGAAAGCTAGTTCAAAGCCAATAACAACTAATGAAAAAATCATGCATCTATGACAGTTTGAATACATAAAGGGCTTAAGATTAATATTTTATGTTCACCACCAAAACAAATTGTTGCATCTGATGCTTATGCTTTTTACCCTCTTATGGGTGTAATTTGTGCTTAATAAAGTTATAGATGATAGATAGTTTATCGGCAATTTAAATGCATATTCAGGACGAGAATTTGTTAATGCTAAATGAATGTTTACCCATGAATGTAATAGATCGACACGCTGAGTAAGGTTTTAACGCTCTAGTTCACAAGGTTGTAGGAAGTTATGACGCCCTTCCCGGGCACATTATTCGGAATCCGAGCCGACCAGTCTTTGTTCTCATTTCTTAATGACGCATGCCTAGCGGAGAAGCAATAAATACTAATTTTTCAAGTTTTTAGTTTGACCCGTTCTGGATTCGCACACGATGCGGTCTGCCTCATCTGAGCAGGTTGTATAAATACAGTTCAAAATTTCAAATTTCTTTAATTCTTCTTTCAATATCCACACGTTAAAGATTGATTTAGGAGGTATTATGAATATACACACATTAAAGATTGGTTTATGAGGTATTATCAATATCCACACGTTGAAGATTGATTTAGGAAGTATTATCAATATCCACACGTTAAAGATTGATTAAGGAGGTATCGTAATTTAATGATTTCTCCATCTGATTGAGAATCTTTGAAATGTTACAAACAACAATATTGACCACTTAAATGCAAGAGGACTCTTGGACTTAGGTGCATTAATTTTGTTGATTTCAAAACAAGACGTTTTCTTGCAATAAGCAGCACGACAGGTACCACTAGTGGAGCGTTTTCACCCCCTTTGTGTATTGGTTCGTAATGGTCATTCTTTAGTTTGCTGTGCAGCGTTTTTGGGACTATTGTTTATTCGTTCGTTTTTTAGTCGTTGATTGTTTGTTTACAAAATACTGATGTTTGAGGCACAGGTACGGGACGAGATTTTTTAAATATATTTATACACTGAATACACATTGTACTAACTTTAGTATATTCTACAATGTATATTAAAACATTGTCTCGTAACTATGGTTGGGGTTTTCTAAATGGTCCTTTATAGATGACAACTAACAGTCGGACATAGTGTAATCTGTAAATAAAAAAAAATATTTACGGCTACTGTATCATGCCTGTTGTAAGATAGTGCCACCCCCTGTGACATTACTATACAATGAAATCACCAAGCCAAATTATTCAAAAGTAACGATTTCATTATTATTAATTGGATTATTTTTATATATTCTATAGAGTCTGCTACCAGTATTACATTCTTTTATTTCAGAATAATCACAGTAGTTGTCATATTGGTATTACTGGTGTTTTTAATATATGAATGGATCCATGACACCCGGAAACTAGTACCTTTTGGTGGGTTGATACTTTTGTTGTTTCTGACATTATTGACGTCACGTTCTCCATCTAAGGTATGTTAGTACCGTCAGTTTTTAATATATAAACTGTGTTTTTATATTACCTCTGTATTTTCATGGTTAATCTATAAATGACAGTAAAAAAATTGACTCAACGTCGTAGAACCTTTTACCAGAGATTAAAACTTTAAACAAGTAAATAATAACTTTTTTAACATTCCGATATCAAATTTTGCACATCAGTTGTCTCTTACAGAGCTATTATCATACCTTTAACTTTGTTGCATAAATATATGACGTGAAATGAACACACGGTACCTATATATATGACTAGTGAATGAAATAAAGGGGGCCTCCAAATGATTTACGAAATAATCAAAGCATAAATGTCTATTTCATTTTAAGTGTATCATTGATTTGCAAAGTTGATTAATCAAAAGAAAGCAATCAACACAAAAAAAAGTATAATTTATTCATATACAAGAATCTGCATCTTAACCTTGCCATAGATGTTTATGCATAGACAAAAATGCTGCCATGTTAAAAAAAAAACACATAGTACATGTTATAATTTTGCATTGTAATAGACTCTCGAAACGAACAACACGTAGAGTTTTTTGTTTATTTTTTATCGAACCCCTAAAGCACATTTCAGTATCAAATTACTTTACAGATTAAATGGACTCCAGTTATTTGGGGAATCCTTCTTCAGTTCCTGTTTGGATTAATTATTCTGCGTTGGCCAATAGGATATGGAGTTTTTGAATTTATTGCCAGTCAAATTTCAGCGTTTCTATCTTATACCGATAATGCTACTAAAATTGTATTTGGAGAAGAAGGACTTAAAGAACATCCAATAGTATTCAAGGTATGTATGTAAAGTATATTACCAAAAAAGAATTACTTTGTACTGTACTCAAAACTTTAAAAATGCTCCTCAAATTCGTACCTTTGCAACTTTTTTTTATTCGAGCGTCACTATATATGAGTCTTTTGTAGACGAAACGCGCGTCTGGCGTAGACAATTATAATCTTGCTATAGATTATGATGAGTTTGTCATAAACCTCTACCTTTGTTAAAAATGTTTCGCCATTAGAATAAACGTGGAAGGATTACCAGGAAAATGCTAAACATATAAAATGTAACATCATGAAAAGGACGTGGGGTAAACGTCAAAACAAACAAACAACGCAAAAAAAAAAAAACAGAAAAATTTAGTGATTCAGCTTGAAGATATAAAAAGTAATGAAAGATCGTGACCGTCACAGACTTATTATCAAAAATGTTCGCATGTGTCAATAAAAGCGGTAGAGATATTAAGTGATTTGGAAGGGTAAGAATATCGTGACTTTAATTATTCTATTTGGCAGTTAAATATATACATTTTACCGCGTTTCGTAGTAAAGCGGAAAAAACTGAAAGTTTCAATCATATGTGTATCGGCCAATGATGTATACGTATGATTTGATAGGTCAGGTGACCTGATGCTTTGGTATGGTAATAATGTTTTTGCGGGAATGTGAAAAACATGTCTATGTGGTCAATCTAGCCGTATAGACATCAAAATGTCGGAGCCGGCACAGTTACATTTTGTAGATTCTTTGATAAACAAACGTGTGCAGGAAGTTGTAACAACGGCACAGAATAATTAAAAGCAGTTTCGACGCTTCCAAATTTTTATTCGCCTCGACGAATAAAAATCAACTACAATTGTCCGAAACACAGCTTTCCAAGATTGAAGAGATGAATTTAGATAATGACGTTTTCAAGAGAAAAGTGAACGAAATTCCAAAGTTACCAACAAAATAAGGGCCACTAGATGTTTTCTAAGGGAAGACCCGGAAGACACCGAACAGACCCAAAAGACAGTATAAACTATAAGTGAAGGTTTGAATATATTACGTAATAGACAAAAGAAAACTAGTTAAATTAGCAGATCAATCCGATAATGGCGGAAAAACGGTCTGTCTTCACGGCATTTTTGAGTTTGGTCTGATTTAGCTTGCCAAAATTATATATATCTTTCGTTGATAAACGAATAACATCGCATTGTAACATTTTGTAAGCTTTGCCTTTCTACTCTTTTAGGTTCTACCTGTAGTAGTATTTTTCAATGCTATCACAAACGTTTTATATTATCTCGGGGCCATGCAGGTGATAATCAGAGTAATTGCTCGTGTCATTAGATTTGTCATGAAAACATCATCAATAGAATCGTTTGCTGCAGCGGCCCAAATATTTATCGGACAGGTATGACATAGATGAAATACCAAACTTTAGCGTGTAGTTTTTTCTTCCCTCCTTTTTATTCTATACTTGCCTTATTCGGTGTTCTGGAGCTCTTTTCACAAAAAATCATGAACATTTCAGTATAACTTACGATCAATTTTAATCGTAAGATTTTTTGTGAAAAGAGTCGCTGTTTTATTAGCTAATGATTACATTTAAAGAAGTTCCATACGATACCGTAATTTTGAGGCATTCCAAAAGTTGTATTCTATTTCTGTATAAAATGAAACATCTATGATTGCACGTGCCCTTCGTGGCAACGTTGAAAAATGCATAGACTGTGATTTAACTGATATTTCATTGTTGTAGCATACAAATTTAACTTAATACTGCAACTAGTTGTGTTTATTTCCTAAATATAGTAACACAGCTATATTTTGTGCAATGTCAATTTCAACATGAATCACTTTTTCCACAATCAGGGGTTCATTAAGGGATGAAAATAAGTTTGAAATTTGTGTTACAATTTGAATAGCTTTCAATGTATTAATTTAAGTTGTAGTATAAAAACAATATTAGATCAATGTCAGAAATATAAACTTTTTTTTTGTATTCGGCACAAAACTAGGTAAGGTCTCGGTAAAACCTCGCCCTTTCCCAGTTTCTCAGCCTCATTTTCTGACATTGACCTAATATTGCATATATAAGAATTTTATGCTTCTTTTTGTAATTTTATAAGGTTGTAAAAGCGTTGAACGCTCGCACATTTTTAATTTGAAGCTGCCCTTTATACAAAATCTGCTTCAGTCAACGCTTTTACACCCCAATAAATTTACAATAGAAACATTCAATTCGTAATTGAATTAAATGGCCTAAATTATAATTAATTTGTCATTTTGTATCTACGACAAATTGTGTTGTCTAGAGGTAAATTTAAGGGAAAAAACATATGATAAATAGTCCATTATTAGAAACTCGAACTAGTCATTTTGCTGGCTGCTGTAAGCATGCCATTATTGGCATTTTAAAAAATACTTTAAATTTTACTGAACTCATTCTCATATGTGTGCGTTACCACCATCGCTTTCGGTGTATTACTTTTGCACGCATGGTAACGTTTGCCCGAATTACCATAGCATTTGCACGTTATACTATCAAATTTGAGCTTAGAAATCCGTACATTTACGCACTGCTTTTCATTATATTTGCGAGCATCTCTTTTGTCATTAAACATGGGAGAAGAGCGAGAAAATATCAAGGACAATATGGTTCTAATATATTTAAGTATACCGCTTTCGTTGATCAAACTTCCCAAACGAAGTTACTGAGTTTTTTTTTTTTTTTTTTTTCTTTCTCACTTTTGCGTACACTGCTGGCAAGTTAAGCTCTGTTATTTTAAAATATCTGCTAAAAAAAGAAAGATTATTTCAAGAAACACAAAACTGCCGGGATGTGCTGAATAAAATTGTTCATTGGAGTGAGCATTAATGATTCAGGGCCGTTAATAGTACGTCCGACCTCTGTATTGATGGTTGGGGTCAGGATTAAATTAATGACATCAAATACGTAATGAAGTAAGAAATAAAGTATGGACAGTGATACTACACAACACGTATGCATAATATTGTATACCCAACCGGTAATTTATTGGATCATAACTATAATGTGTTAGCTTAATGTTTGGTTCGTTTTGTAACTTTTTAGTTTGTTAGGGGAAGACGTTGTGAAGTGAACGTACAATGTTTTATTGATATTTTTCAAGTTTACTACAATCCAACGTTCTGTATTTGCAGACTGAATCTAGTATAGCATTGAAGCCATTTTTGAAAGACATTTCAAGGTCAGGACTGAATTCTGTAATGACGGGAGGCTTTGCAACAATTGCGTGCACATATATTGCAGCATATATTGAATTAGGGGTATATATTTATTTATGTAAATTTAGAACTCAATGATGGTTAAAACCTTCATTTTCAGGTATCATTTTACCGTAATAATCTCTAGTTAATTATTTGTAATCTTCGCGTTCAACTTGAAGATTTAAGTGATACTATTTTACTTTCATTTTTTTTTTTCTATTGATCATACATCATAAAGTTTTCACGATCTTTGCAATTTATGTTATAACGAAATTGGGGAAAATGATACAAACTAACTTAAAGGTAGATCAAAATCATCATAAATATAAACGCCAAAATAAATTATTGCAAACAGATTTGACCCAACAGATCTTAAAACTATACGAATATAAACCACTTTACGGTAATTCGCCGTTTCACAATCTAATGCATTCCGGCCGGGTAATATTCTCAAAAGCGTACACCAAAACGTCGTGATTGGTTAAAAACGTCCTAAACGATGGAAATTCAATAAATGACGTGACGTTATTTTCATTTTGCGGTACGAACAGTTAAATTACCCATGGTCCTTTAGATTCTGAAACGACCAATCAACTAATAAAGCAACACCGTCTCATTAAATTAGATTGTGCCTATTCTATATATAGAATTGTTTTTCATTAACTTATGGTTTGGCTGCCTGTACCATTTGTTTCATTACCCCATTTACAGAGTAAATAATACGTCATATAAGCAATCTTAATAAATTTATTTTGTTCTTTTGAAAATTGGAAAAATTGGTGTGCTCGCCTCGAGTGAAGGAAGGTCGTTGGTTCGATGCCCGACATGGTCAAGACTTGAAAATTAGTAATTGCTGCATTTATAGTTTACAGCAAAGACTAGTCAACCCGAAGTATAAAAATATTGTGTCCGAATTGGATGACTTGCAGACTATTACCGTAATTGTAAACTTGTCAGTTAAGTTGAAAGCACGGTTTATTTTCCTATCATAGCAGCATGTTTTCGTTCAGAATATGTATCTAATTTTCAGCTGGACGTTTAACAGTCATCCATCATCTTTATTATCACCACTATCATCTGCTGTCTCATTGACGCATACTCCATGTCTCATTTAGTATCAACACTACTAGAAATCAGTCTTTTGATGAAATGTGTCAGTTAATTTCTGTGATAACAAAATGTCCATAATCCCTTACAGGTACCTGCACAACATTTGGTGGCAGCTTCTTTTATGTCTGCTCCGGCTGCATTGGCAGTAGCTAAATTAGGATGGCCTGAGAACAGTGAAGTTGAAGAAACAGATTTGAGCAATATACAATTCGATGTTGGGTATGTTATTTCATGACCGTGACATTGTTGAAAAGGAGAAAATAATGAAATAAAAATCATATTGCGTGTGAGCACTGAAGGGTTACGATTGCATTCATTTTATAGTGGAAACTATAAATCAAACATTGCATTGAAGGCAATATTTTGAATTGGAGTTATCTTCCTTTGTCCATAATTTTAGTTTATTCAACTACAATTATGGTAAAAAGAACGTAACTCAAATTACATATATCACCTTTCGTTTCTATTTTTAAAACAGATAAATTCATGCACAATGCACAACTTATGTAAGTTTCAATAAAATAGTTTTCTCGACGAGTATGGTTTATACATACACATTCACATATTTTGTAACTTGAATATCTAAGTACATATATATTGATATCTGCTGCATAACTGCAAACTGTATCCCCCAAAATTGAAAGTTTCTCTTATAGTAATATTATACCATCGCCATGCGGCAATTTCAATTATTGAACACAATTGAGTACAATCTGAAGTTCTCTTTTTATCACACAAAAATCATAGATTATACCTATTTTTATATGGCGATTATCCTACTTGTAAGAAAAGGAATACAAACTCGTTTGCCAGTTCAATATCCCAAGCATGTCGAAAGTTTTCGATATTTTCTATTTAGCTGGTCAGAACTTGTAATGGTTTTCAGTTTGGGTTATTCGGGTACATTCTGTAGACTAGCTATAGTTCGCTATCATTTATCTGTTTTTGCTTTTGACAACAAGAGCTACTCAGATACTTGTATGTTGTAAGAGAGAAACCCAGCCTAGTTTATTCTGCAAGAATCATAGTTCCCTTGCTACTCATTTCTTTGAGATACTACCCTATATCTGGTGAAGCAAACAATGAAAAAGTAAATATGTAAATAAGATACCAAAGGCGTCGGGGAAATCAAAATCTACACACGAAAAAAGATGAAAAGGCAAACTACAGTCAACAAAGCACCACACAGAAAACCAGATTGCCCACACAAAAAAAACACACCGGAGATGAACTCCGACGATCTAGAAGTGTCAGCAATTCCTGCCCCACAAGTGACGTCTTCTTGTTGCTCATGCAACAATCCAGTAAGTTCTAGTCAATGACAGGCTAAGTATTGAAGCAGATTGGTAAATGCATGTTGTCTTAATGACGTTGAAATTATAAAGGTATCACATCCAATTAAATATACACATAAAAATCATGAAATTTTACTTTGTTTACCCAAGGTGTTATCAATAACAATGTATAACACTCGATACTATCCTTTGCAGACAAGAAACCAACCTTTTGGAAGCAGCATCTGCAGGAGCGACATCTACTGTGAAGCTGGTCGCTTACGTTGTTGTAAATCTGATTGCATTTCTTGCTATTTTGTCATTTCTTGACGCCGCTATTTCATTCTACGGTGAAAGAGTTGGTCATCCCGAAATAAATTTTGAGGTATATCTATTATTTTGGTTTTACAAAATGAAAAAAAGTAACCATATGGTTGTTATATCACTAAATATGCAAGGCTCCGTGTTGAAGGCCGTACTTTGACCTATAATTGTTTACTTTTTACACATTGTGACTTGGATGGAGAGTTGTCTCATTGGCACTCATACCACATCTTCTTATTTCTATGAAATAATTGCCACCGAACGTTAAGCAAGCAACAAACAATCAATCAAACATCAAAGTCATAAATAAAATAAAATTCCAGGAATACGCCAAGGAGACAATTACCAAACGATACAACAAAAACAAAAGAATTCTAGATGTCTCACACTCGGCAAAATGAGACTGAAACCGTATTGAAGATAATATTATAAACTTTTGTTGTTAATTATATAATGCAAACTGATGAGCGTGCATGTGTATGGTCACTCATGCCGACTTTTTTACAACGTTCGTTATTTTAATAACTTTGTTATCACTTACGAACTTATTTCAAAGAGTTCGTTGTGTTTTTGTTTTATTCATTCCTTTCATTTATGTTTTATTCTAATTGCTGGATGTTATGAGTTAATTTTGTGTTTGTTTTATTCGATTTTATTTGATTTCATTTCTTTTCGTTTTCTTTTTCATCTGTTTCAGTGGTTATGTTCGTACCTATTCATGCCACTAGCTGTTATCTCTGGTATACCATGGAATGATTGTAGGACTGTCGCTACTTTGATAGGAAAGAAAATTGTCCTCCATGACTTTTTGGCTTACATGGATCTTGGCCGATTGATTAAGAACGATCAGATCGAGGTGTGGTGGGTTTCGTAAATCAACATTTATCTTAGCAAGAATCATAAATCAAAGAAAAATATAATACCTCGAGTTAACTACTGGTATAGGGTTTTATCTTTGTTCTTATATGAAATAAATAAATAAAAAGATGTTGAATGATTTCCAATGAGACAACTATCCACCAGAGACCAAATGTTGTAGATATAAGCAACAAGCACTGATATGACATTTACACAGATTTCACCCTCTCTTTGTTACTTACAGTTGATTATTTCCTGATGATATTTTCAGGTTTTCTCTGGATTTTTATTGTCCACTGACAATTGCACATTGAGGGGCACCATAAATAAAGACACCATTAAAACGTGATTATAGAAAAAAGATGAACAACATGAAACTAATTACTTTATGTTATTACATTGAGTGTCCCTAATAAAGTTTATTTCATGATAGCGCTTCGAGTGTAAAATTTCTATGTGTTTGTCATATTTTTTCAATATGTATTTGATCTTATTATGACCATTCATAACAGTATTCAGTAATGTTGTTTTTAATTTTAACAAAATAAAATGAAACTCAAAAAGTATAGCTACAAACAATCTAATTAAAATATAGTTCTCTGATTTCGTTATACTCATCTTTACGAGCACGCGCGTTAATATTGATCAAAATTTTAATGAGATTGAGCTACTAAAATCCAAAGGAAGAAAACACTGGACAGATGAATTGATGCAACGAATACATAATCAGTGATCTGGAAGGATTTTTTCTCTATGGGCCCAGGGCCCCCCAAAAATAAATTCAATGAGCCATTTTTAGAATTAATGGGCCATGTTGTCAAATGAGTGGGCCATTCATTTACAATAAAAAAAAAATTAAAAAAGTGTATATTTCACTGTACTTACAAGTATGATTCTAATTAATATCATGGATATTGTTCCTGTGATTTTGTAATTTCAATTTCAATGAATATACAATAACTTCTTCCAAACCGGGCAATATTTACGATAACCTTTATTTACAATGTTAAAACTTGTTCTGTTCCCTTGTTCATGTTCATGTTTTTTTTTTTACCATTAAATTTGGGTCTTCGTCGATACCATACTTATTCCAGACGTTCCGTATTAGAGGACGTTTCTGACATTTCCTCTGCACTTGTATTATTATTACTTCATCACGATGACAAGAATAACAGTAGAGAGTAACGTTAATTGATAAGACACAACAACAATTCGCTGAAGGCATGTTTACAAAATGTCAAAACGAGCCAAAGACCAAAAATATTGACAAGGACAGTTAAGCCCCTTTTATGGAGACAAATACTATGCTATTCATAAAAAGGCTTTTGGATTTTTCAATCGAAATAATAGCAAGCTTACTTAAAAGATTATAATTAGGTACTAGCCAATTTTCACAAATTTAAAGTTGTTTATAAAAAAATTATATCATGAATGATGGTTAATTACGTTTTTTGGGTTGTCAGTCATACCGCATGTTGCTATTATTACCATAGGAAAACACCCGAGACGTCCCAAAAATATATAGGTGCTCCTATCATTGGAGATAACACTACACAGTTGTGTACTCACACATGGCGGCACGAAATACGATCGGAAATCCATTTGACGATATCTCAACGTTTTAAAACGAAGTGAAAAATATCATGCGCCACGCGGGCGCTTACATTTGTCACTCTATGCGCCATTTCTGGTCGATAAGCGCAATTGGCGCAAGGCGCACGTCCTTCCCGATCACTGCATAATGACAGTTACATTCTTGACTTGGTATAGATCTGTTTCATGTATTAATCTTAGATTTATGGCAACAATCTGTCACTTTTTGCATACAGCTGATACTTTTGAATAACGAATACATCATTTTATATATTTTCTTTAGTTAATTTTACATTTCAAGGATCGTTCAGCAGTAATAGCAACATACATTCTTTGTGGATTTGGTAGCATAGCATCTATTGGTGTTACGTTAGGCGCGTTAACTGCCGCTGAGCCTAGCAGGCGCAGAGATTACGCCAGAGGAGTGTTCAGGGCGTTTGTTTGTGGAAATGTTGCTTGTTTTATGACGGCCTGTGTTGCAGGTAAATTAAATTATCAGCATAACTTCTCATGGGAAAAGTAGGATAGAGTGAAAAGGTTGCATCCTGTCCACACTTAATCCTCTCTCTTTGTTATCCTTACTTTTTAGTTTTTGTTGAAAATGTCAAAAGAGATAAATAAATAAGAAGATACTGTAAAACGGATGAAATTGTGTTTCAATGAAAAAGTTCCTACTTTTGATTTTGATTTGATTTTTGGTGTTTTAACGCCACTTTTAAGCACCGCTTTTGTGCTATTTCGTGGCGGTCAGTTTTTATTGGTGGAAGAAGCCGGAGTGTCCGGAGAAAACCACCGACCTTCGATAGGAAAACTGACAATCCAAGTCAATTAAGATTGGAGTCGAGTGCACCCGCACGAGCGGGGTTCGAACTCACAACCTCAGTGTTGACTGGCTAGTGATTACAGTAGTGACTACTTAGACCACTCGGCCACCGAGGCCCCCGAAGTTCCTACTTAACTATAGTGGTATCCGGCATGGCAAATATAAATCTGGTGATTAGTCGTATTTGTAAAGTCATTAACGAGGAAAGGTGCACGACATTGTGGTTATGGCAATTGATAATAGCGTAGATTGTTGGTGTTCAAAGCCACGTTCCGCACTCTTGGCTATATCGTGGCGGTCAGTTTTATTGGTGGAGGGAGCTGGAATGCCCGAAGAGAATCGTTGACCTTCTGCAGAAAACTCGAATTCGAACTTACAACCTCAGTGTTGACATGTTAGTGATACATTAGTGAACTACATAGACCACTCGGCCACCGAGGTCCCCGTAAATCTTTCGAAGCGATTACTCTAACTGTATGAATAAGAACTCATGGCGTAAATATAGTTTCCTAGTAAGCAACAGCGCTTTAATAAAGTAATCATGATAGATAATGCAACCTGGTGAAAACAGACACACAATAACGCGTTAAAAGCTGAGAAACACTTGTGCATCTGGAGGATAATATTATCTTTAGAATTTGATAAGTTTTACATCATTTAGTCAACAAAAAATGTTTTAGTATCAATATCAACGTAAAGGCATGATCAGTCAGAAAGTTATTAAAATTTAGGCAACGTTCATGCCTAGCATATGTTTTCCGTGTACCTATGTTACATGCAACTGGTAACATTTGTTCATATTGAAACAGTGTAATTATTCGCTGACAAAATTTTAAAATTACCCAATGGAACAACCTGAATATGTATTGCGAAGTGTTCAAACTGTTAAGACATTGGTAAATCATTTTCTAGTGTGGGTGCAATTAAAGATTGACAACCAAAGGTTTGGGGAAAGTTTTAAATAATATTGTGATTAAAAAATTAAAACATTGCATTGTATTATGCAAATAAAACATATGTAGGAAATATTTTAAATTGAGTCAAGAAATCTTTACCCCCTCCCCCGCCCCCTAAAAAGTGCATTACATTAAAACGGGTCTTTTGTTTTACAGGAATGCTGTACACAGAATTTACTCCAATGTTATATAACAACGCTACAAACTGCAACATGACCAGCCTATCATCATGTAACACAACTATATCGAATTCATCATTATATGTGTTAGATCTTAGAAATATCACACAATATGAATTCTAGATATTTTATGTACGTATTCAAAACTTGTAAAACAAAACATGCATTGCTATATACATGTACTCGAAATATATACTGCATAATTATCTAACCTCGTTTTATACGGAGTATAGTTGCTTAAGTATGTATATTTTCTGTCCATTTTTATTACAATTTCAACCACAATTGCCTTGTCAATTTTTCCAAGAGCTATCTTTATTTGTAAAAAAAATGTATAAGATTTTGCCTACAGTTTTTGTATTAGATTTGCAAATTCATTTCTGAAATGTTATTGGATGTCAACTCTTGAAATGATACTTATTAATTAAAATAGCATGTACGATATAACGTTAAAACTGAAAAAAAATTCTCAGAGTTTGACTGACAGATAGTTTCCCATTAAATTTGTATCAAATAATGATACTTTTATCGTCTTGTATCTGATCAAAACTATGTATTTGTAATCATTATCCTGGTAAAATATACGATGTACCACCCAGTTTATATGTTACATGAAAATTAATATGAAGTTAAACGATTGTTCCTTGACATGTGAAACAAGAGGTAAATATATACAAAATACAATCACATACAATCATAGAAATAAATAGAACAACTTAGAAATGAAATATATTAATAATTACTAAGAATAAGAAATGTGTTTACCTCTAGTCCACCATTAGTTACAAATTTGTTTAATATGTTTGTGAAGCTTTTGCTTATATTCTAGTGCTAATTTATTTTTCAATATCCAAGTCGGTAAAAGTTTTGTCTATCCTCCGTAATTTAATTCCAAACTTACACATTCGGTTTTATGGCAGGAGGATATACATTTACAGATGGTTTATGAAGTTAGTGATGTTCAAGGGTAAGTCAAGAGACCTTCACCAATCTGCTATTGTATGATGTGTCATCAGTTGATATGATAGTCTGGATGGGGGTCCTTCCATTTTTGTAGTCTTCAAATTTAAAGGCCATTTTTCCCTATTCCTTTATTTGTTTGCCCATTTCTCTATTCCTTATATTTTAGCTCAATATTCTCTATTCTTCATTTTTGGCCTATTTTACTGTATTCTTTATTTTTTTGGCCTAATTTTTTCACCTTTCCTTTTTCCGTTCTTTATTCTGTATTTTTTGCCCGTTATTCTCTATTCTGCATGCAAACCCCATCCAGATCCTCTGATATGACTGATCTGTACTTTAATGGGAGTAACACGGCGAAAGCGACTAGTGGTGCAAAAACCGCTGACCCTCAGATTTTTGTTTGCGTTGCTCAATCAATTGTTTCCTATGTAACATTTTTGTGGGCTACTTGTCTTTCCGTCGTTTTTCAGTGGCTATGGTGTTAGCTGTTTTTCTGCGACCTAGCATTGTACAGAGCTGGTGTTCAACCCTAAGTTTAAACCTTTTATATTGTTCTTCTCATCTGACCTTGTAAGGAAAAAACCTCTACATCTTTTACCTTCTTTTGAAAAGAATTTATTAATTTTCTTTGCCTCTGGAAATGGCCGACTTTTTTCACCATGCAAAACTATGCTAAAACAGAATTACATCTAGACCATAAGTGCAAGTTTGGGTATGTATTGGATTAAAATGATCTTGCCGCCATTTTTGCCTTTACCAATTCTTGTGTGGTCTGTTTTAATGTCTATATTTGTAATTCATGTTTTCCTTTAAATGCATTATGCTCACTTAGTGGGACCGCCACGGTTCTCGTGATAGTGTGTTCGACTAGAGTGGGAAGTCATGGGTTCGAAAACCCGGCCGGGTCAAATCAAAGACATTAACATTGTTATTTGCTGTATCTCCGCTAAGTATGCGGCATTAAGAGAAAGAGCAAATACTGGTCGGCTCGGATTCATAATAGTGTATTCAGGAAGGATGGACATGTCTTCCAGTTATACTGTTACTTTGTGAACTAGCACGTTAAAAATCCGATCGACTCAGCGTGTAGGTAGAGTATAAGCAGGGTTAATATTCATATCGCATTAACATGTTCTCGTCCTGAATATGCGTTTAATTTGATGCGTGACGACAAATAGCTACCCATTAATATCGTTTCTTATTGGATACCAATAACTTCAAACTTTTCAAAATACTGATTTGTTTCCTTCCTTTTTACACGAAACGATTATTATGTAGTATGTCTTAAATGAACAAATCCCAATGAAACAATCTAAAAAAAGAAAACACCTATAAGTCACCATGCTATTACTTAAACTAAAATGTAGAGTGACCTATAGTTGCTTACATCCACCTGATTTGGACTCATTGGAAATCATATCTCCTTTGTTTATATATGTATGTACTGACCACTATGTCATGAAGTGTCTGACAAGCTTTTTCTAGCGTCTTGTGATTTTTTTTTCATCTTAAAACATAAGTATAAAACATCTCAATGCAAGCATTTGCATTAACTAACGACTAGAAGCAAATGGTGCCTAAAATTTTCAGTCTTCTAAATAAATTTTAATCCTTGATCTTTGAATTTTAAATCAATAGTGATCATGTTCATCAGGCATCATTGCTTTTGACATTCTGTATGACTAGAATTACAAAGGGCTGACATGCTTTAATATTCCATGTCATCTGATTGTGACTTGAAAATAAATAGGTTGTACTCTCCCCATTTTTAGAATAAATTGAAATATTAAAAAGATTCACAACAAGAGGTCTATAGTGGGTAGTAAGTCTTTTAAAAAATATGTGATCATAACCTATAACCCCCCCCCCCCCCCCAAACTGCTTCTCCATGGTGGTACAAAAGTGTTAATGATTCACAGATGGTGTTGATAGCATATCAATTCACTTATTTCATAACTAGATTGATTGATTGATTAGTGGTTGCTTTCCGAGCCCTCAGCATTCATAACTAGAACCTCTGAGACTAATAAAGAGGTTTTCCTTAAAGTTTGTTTTGTTCCTATGTTCCCAAGAGAAGTTGCTCATGTTGTTGACAATGGAGAAGTGATGACCATAGCTCTTTGCCTTGGCAAGGTGAGCTAAAAATCAAATGTGTTCTTATAATCTGTAGAGGCAGAGCTCCTGGTTAGCATGTACAATGTGCCAAAAAAAAACGACTAACAATTGTTCACACAGCTGCAAAGGAAACACCGCTCCAAAGTCTCACCTCTACGACTTTATCAAGGTCAGACAATAATGAGGATGAATTTTCTAATAGCATTTACATAATTTAATTTTGGAGAATTTCATTGAGTGCTTTAAAGGGCATTACTCCAGAGCAGTTAAGTACCAACTGCAAGAACAACTAGGATCCAATTTGACTTCTTTTCAGACATTATAACTAGAGACTCTAAAGAGCCTGTGTCGCTCACCTTGGTCTATGTGCATATTCAACAAAGGACTCTCTCCAACATTGTAGACGAGAATAGAATTCATGACAAAAATCTGTTATGTTGATCTTGTATTGTTGATCATTTAGTCTGTTTAGTTTCTCTCTATTTTTGCTCAAAACACAAAAGAGGGTAACAAAAAATCCTCATTTAAGGACAATCACTCCTTTAAAGAGTGACAGTCTACTAACTGCATTTGTATATTGGGAAAATTTTACTTGTTAATAGATCTTTACTTGCTGATCATTTTTGTGATATAAAGTGTCTATTTATCTATTATATTTTTTATCATATAAGGCAAAAAGCAAAAATATGGTGAAAATCGCAATTAAAGGGCAATAACTCCAATGAGGAGTCATCGAACGATTTCCTCCATTTCGTCTTAATCTTAGATCTTGTCTTGCTGATCATTTTTGCTTATTTAAGTTTCTATCTATTTGTCATATTTTTTTAAATATAAAGCAAAAACGCAAAAACTGGAAAAAATGGTCATCAAAGGGTAATAACTCTAATAAGGAGTCGACTGACGATTTCGAACATTCGACTTATTTGCAGAACTTGTCTTCCTGGTCATTTTTGCAATGTAAAGTTTTTCTCTATCTACTATAGTTTTCACGATAATAAGCAAAAATGAAAAAAAGGTACAATTTGTCATTTAAGGGCAATAACTCCTATCAGAAGTCGTCTGACAGTTTTGACGTATATGGATAATTGGCAGAGCTCAACATTTTGAACGTTTCTGCTCCTGTTAGATTTTCTCTATTTATAACGGTTTTCAAAATAATAGACAAAACTTGCATTTTACCCCTATATTCTATTTTTAGCCATGTTGGCCATCTTAGTTGACAGGTGGGGTCATCGGACACATTTTATAACTAGTAACCCAATTGTTTCTTGTGGTCAAGTTTGGTTAAATTTGTAGTTTCAGAGGAGATTTTTGTAAAAGTTAACAGACGACAACGACGACAGATGCCAAGTGGTGAGAAAAGCTCACTTGGCCCTTTGGTCTATATGCATACTCAACAATGGACACTCTCCAACATATTGTAGACGAGAATAGAGATCATGACTAAAATATCTTTTTTGTTGATCTTGTAAAGCTGATAATTTTTCTGTTTCGTTTCTTTCTATCTTCTTTAGTTTTTGCTCAAAACACAAAAGAGGGTAAAAAAATCCTCATTTATGGGCAATCACTCCTATGAAGAGTCCACAGTCTATTAATTATATCTGCAAAATTTGACTTGTTTGTGGATCTTGCCTTGCTGATCATTTTTGTTATCTATAAAGTTTCTATTTATCTATTATAATTTTTATCATATAAGGCAAAATGCTAAAAAAAAATGTAAAAATCGTCATTGAAGGGCAATAACTTCAATAAGGAGTTGTTGGAAAATTTCCTCCAACTGCTCATAAATGTAGATCTTGTCTTGCTGATCATTTTTGCTAATTTAGGTTTCTATCTATCTATTATAATTTTTAAGTTATGACAATAACGCAAAAAATGGTAAAAATTGTTGTCAAAGGGCAATAATTCTGATAAGGAATAGACTGACAATTTCAACCATGCACACTTATTTGTAGATCTTGTCTTGTTGATCATTTTTGCAACTAAAAGTTTCTCTCCATGTATTATAGTTTTCAAGATAATAGGCAAAAATGAAAAAAAATGGTAAAATTTGTCATTTAAGGACAATACCTCCTATAAGAAGACGCCTGACAGTTTTGATATTAACGAACAATTGGTAGAGCTCAACATTCTGAACATTTCTGCTTGACAGAATTTCTCTATTCATAACAGTTTTCAAAATAATAGACAAAACTTGCATTTTACCCCTATGTTCTACTTTTAGCCATGTCGGCCATCTTGTCTTGGTTGTCAGGCACATTTTTAAAATAAGATAACCCAATAATGATTGTGGCCAAGTTTGGTTAAATTTGGCCCTGTAGTTTCAGAGGAGAAGATTTTTGTAAAAGTTAACAATGGCGATGACGGACATCCAAGTGATGAGAAAAGCTGGCACTGTCAACTGATGGTACCAAAACTGCACATTTTAATGCTAAAAGATTTTTTACTTCAATTTCAACCATGCGCACTTATTTGTAGATCTTGTCTTGTTGATCACTTTTGCAACTTAAAGTTTCTCTCTATGTATTATAGTTTTCAAGATAATAGGCAAAAAGAAAAAACAAGAGGCTCTCAAGAGCCTGATTCGCTCACCTGTATTTCAGAGGAGAAGATTTTTAAATGTTAGCAAACTTGATGAACAAATTGTGTAAAATTGTCTTTAAAGGGAAATAACTCCTTAAGGGGTCAATTGACAATTATGGTCATATTAACTTTTTTGTAGATCTTACTTTGCTGAACATTATTGCTGCTTGCAGTTTATATATATCCATAATAATATTCAAAATAATAACAAAAAACTGCAAAATTTTGTTAAAACTACAAATTCGGTGGCAGCAACCCAACAATGGGTTGTTCGATTCGTCTGAAAATTTCAGGGCAGATAGATCTTGACCAATTAAACAATTGTACCCCTGTCACATTTGCTCTAAAAGATTTAGTTTTTGAGATATAAGCCAAAAACTGCATTTGACCTTTATGTTCTATCTTTAGCCATGGCAGCCATGTTTGTCAATGGATACAAACTTCGGATACAATTTATAAACAAGATACCCTAAGAAACATTTAGTTAAAGTTTGAAGGTAATTGGCCCAGTAGTTTCAGAGGAGAATATTTTTAAATGTTAGCAAACTTGATGAACAAATTGTGTAAAATTGTCTTTAAAGGGCAATAACTCCTTAAGGGGTGAATTGACAATTATGGTCATATTAACTTTTTTGTAGATCTTACTTTGCTGAACATTATTGCTGCTTACAGTTTATATATATCTATAATAATATTCAGAATAATAACAAAAAACTGCAAAATTTTGTTAAAACTACCAATTCGGTGGCAGCAACCAAACAATGGGTTGTTCGATTCGTCTGAAAATTTCAGAGCTGATAGATCTTGACCAATTGAACAATTTACCCTGTCAGATTTGCTCTAAAAGCTTTAATTTTTGAGATATAAGCCAAAAACTGAATTTGACACCTATGTTTTATTTTTAGCCATGGCTGCCATGTTTGTCGATGGATCAAACTTCGGATACAATTTATAAACAAGATACCCTAAGGAACATTTAGTTAAAGTTTGAAGGTATTTGGCCCAGTAGTTTCAGAGGAGAAGATTTTTAAAATAGTTTACGATGACGACAGACGACGACTACAGAAAAAGGACACCAATTGATGGCATAAGCTCACATGCGGCCCTTTGGGCCCCGGTGAGCTAAAAATGGTAAAATTTGTCATTTAAGGACAATAACTCCTATTAGAAGACGCCTGACAGTTTTGATATTAATGAACAATTGGTAGAGCTCAACATTCTGAACATTTCTGCTTGACAGAATTTCTCTATTTACAAGTTTTCAAAATAATAGACAAAACTTGCATTTTACCCCTATGTTCTACTTTTAGCCATGTCGGCCATCTTGTCTTGGTTGTCAGGCACATTTTTAAATTAGATAACCCAATGATTGTGGCCAAGTTTGGTTAAATTTGGCCCAGTAGTTTCAGAGGAGAAGATTTTTGTAAAAGTTAACAATGACGACGACGGACATCCAAGTGATGAGAAAAGCTGGCACTGTCAACTGATGGTACCAAAACTGCACATTTTAATGCTAAAAGATTTTTTACTTCAAGTGTTCAAAATACTAATATGATTGAAATGAAACAATAAACATGTACTATTATTGTTTATTTTTCACCTGTATACATGTGTGACCATATTTACATTGAGATGAAGAACAGCAATAAAAGTGCTGTTCCTTTGCTTTTTGTGTTTTTTTTCTGTGCATGTATTAATTGTGTCATGGATGGATACTCCATACCATTCCTTTTCTATTGAACTATATGACTTTTTTTGGACAATATTAGTGTTTATCATCAATGAAAGCTCAAATCTGCAAACTCTTAATATAGCAGAGTTTTCAATGCAATGTTACAACTCTGTCATATATAAAAACTGTGATTCTTACATACCATACAGTTTCAATTGTTTTGGAAAAGGCATGGCTTTTTTTCTATTAACATATAAAAAAGATAACATCAAGAAACTATCATTTTTTTCTGTTGTTAACAGCATGTAAGGGACATAACTAACTGCATGTAAGGGACATAACTAACAGCATGTATGGGACATAACTAACAGCATGTTAGGGACATAACTAACAGCATGTAAGGGACATAACTAACAGCATGTAAGGGACATAACTAACAGCATGTAAGGGACATAACTAACAGCATGTATGGGACATAACTAACGGCATGTAAGGGACATAACTAACAGCATGTAAGGAACATAACTAACAGCATGTAAGGGACATAACTAACAGCTTGTATGGGACATAACTAACGGCATGTAAGGGACATAACTAACAGCATGCAGGGGACATAACTAACCGCATGTAAGGAACATAACTAACGGCCTGTAAGGGACATAACTAACAGTATGTATGGGACATAACTAACAGCATGTAAGGGACATAACTAACAGCATGTATGGGACATAACTAATAGCATGTAAGGGACATAACTAACAGCATGTAAGGGACATAACTAACAGCATGTAAGGGACATAACTAACAGTATGTATGGGACATAACTAACAGCATGTATGGGACATAACTAACAGTATGTAAGGGACATAACTAACAGGATGTATGGGACATAACTAACAGTATGAAAGGGACATAACTAACAGGATGTAAGGGACATAACTAACAGCATGTAAGGGACATAACTAACAGCATGTATATTTTTTTTCTGATAAATATAACTAAAGAGTAAAAACTATAATGTAGTAAAAATATTTATTGTATAACAAAAACACTTTTCTCAATAACAGTTTATCACTAACAAATGCTAAAACTAAATCGTTTCGATTACAATGTCATACTAAAACTATGATATCTCCATTTAAACTTATATACTAAAAATAGTTTATCTTCACTTTCAATTTATGAATCCTTTCAGATACCATCATATTCCTATTTACAATTTCCATATTTTTCATTAGGGCTTAAAAAACATGACACATGAATAAGTTTAATAGATTAATTGTTTCAATAAGGGTCAGTAACAATACTTCATGCATATCCATAACAAACAGTAACAAATAAAACTGTGAGCTACTGCTCACTAATGATACCAGCTTGATACCAGCTACTGCTCACTAATGATACCCACACTTTAAGAATTCAGTAAACATGGAGTTAATGAGCGATGAATCTGAAAACATATCATTGGTAAAGCATGTTCACATGAAGCCGATCAACAAATTTCAGTAAGCTCTTATTTGTAGTTCCCTACAAAATTCAATCAAAATTTCATACTTGGCCATTATGTGTTCTAATATATAAGTATTTGGTTAACAGACAGTTGGGAATCAATGATTCTGAAACAGCATTACAAGGTAAAGCATGTATACATGGAGACTGATAACAAATTTCAGGAAGCTAGGATTTGTATTTCCTGAGGAAATGCAACAAAATTTCATGAGCCCAACAGACATACAGAAGTTAACAGAACACCACCCCCTCCTATTTTGGAGTGAGGGTATCATCAAACACTTTTTAATAGTCTTATTTGTATGCAGCAGACCCTAAAAGGGTTTTAAAATAGTTGAACTGACAATCTTCAATAAATACTCTCAATGATTTTTGAACTTAAAAGTACTGTAAAGAATAAAAATACATTTAAATAAAAAAAAATAAGATACACTTTAAAGTAAAAAAAAAACCAAGTAGACATGACTAAATAAAACAATATTTCATCTCAATTAAAATATTGCAAATACTATAATAACATGAATATAAAATACTAGTAATCTCTGAGCATCTTTGAAGAATCAGGCAGATAAGTTGTGGTTGGTCAAAAACAATTTTTCAGACTTTTTCTCACCTTAATCTGATAGAAAGGTTGTATACAGTTCACAGTAAATGGAAAATTCTGGTCAGAAAATTCCTCATTATAATTTCAATACAAATAAACTGTTGTGTTAAATTTTTAAAGGATCAATTCGTCAAATTTGAGGAAGTCTTATATCTTTGAAGTTTCTTTCGTATTTTTTCGAACATTTTCAATTTCCATATTTTCCTTTGTAAGATCTGATGCTCTTAAAAATTGATCCATATTAAATGCAGGCCTATGGTAACACTTTCTTATCGAAATGATGTAGGATTCTTTTTCCATATGCAAACAAGATTATTGTCTGTTCCACAAGCTATCAGTGTCTGATCATCACTTGAACAACAACTGTTGATCACAATATCCTGAAAGATTAAAAAATAAACATTACATGTGGATTCTTATAAGAAGCTGATACTATGGCTTCAATATCATTCATTTACACCAATTTTCATGGATTTCATTGGTACAATGAAACCCCAATTTTAAATCTGCTACAAATTACAAATTTTGCATAAGAATGTATACAGATATTGTTATAACCATGAAATCAAATATCCATAAAATCCAAGTTTTCAACAATCCATGAAAATTGGTATCCATTGAAATAAATGAATCCATGGTAAATAATATGAGAATGAAGTACTAAATAACAGCAAGAAAATCAATAAAAAGAAAATTCAATATAATAGAGAATCATAAATTGTTAACTTTTCTTAAAAACAAATTACACTTGCCCATTACCTTGTTTAAGGAGGCTGTCATGTTATAAAGCATACCATTTCAAGCAAATTTGTATAGTCTGCTTGCAAAAAATATCAAGAAATATTACTGACTTCCACCATTTTTCACAGGTAAGACCTGCTTCATATAAATTTGAAGGTAAATTTATGTAACTTCTAATAATGGTAAATCATTCTTATATGGAAATTTTTTTCTTCCAACATTTATGCTAGGTATCAGAAAAAAGGTTGAGGAATGTTCTTAGAGGGTCAACAATGTCTATGATTAGAATCAAATAAATTTGGTAAGATTTGGATTTACAGTTTCCGGGAAAGAAATTGAAAATGAACCAATTGGAACTATTAAAGAACTGCTTACAGTAGCGGTCCTTATCACCAGATTATTACATTAACAGAATTCTATTAGTTATCTTGGTGTAATCAGGGGTGTACAGAATTTTACACCGTTGCTGAAAATTCATACACCCTGAGGCGCAGCCAAATGGGTGTATGAATTTTCAACAACGGTGTAAAATTCCGTACACCTCTGATTACGCCAAGATAACGAATTTATTTCTTATGAACAATTCCTTTACTCATTTTTAAACCAGGATGTAAAATTGATAAATGGTAATGACAAATTTCCAGTGTAACATTTTTTCAACTTCGATGTTGCTCCGCATTGTCAAATACTTTTTTCTTTATTTTAGGGAAATTCAGAAAATTTTGTGTTCTTTTGAATTTCGGGGGGAAAACAAATTTTAAATATTTTTTTAAATTTTTGTTCAATTTTTGTTCAATTTTTGTCCTGAAATTTATTTATTTATTTTTTTTTTTTTTTTTTTTTTTGACATTTAATTTTTTTTTTTTTTTTGACATTTTATTATTATTTTTTTTATTTTGGCAAAATTTTATTTTTTTTAATTTTTTGGCAAAATTTTATTTATCCCAGGGTGAACAAGGGTAGGGTGTTATCTACACCGGGATAATTAACCAATCAGATTGCAGTATTTTTGCTGCATAAGAAATAAGTTACTTTATCATATTTCTTTCAACTTTTAGTACATTTTAAACAGTAGAAATAATCTGTGTTTTTAAAGACTATACACATGATATCATGCTGTTTTCTAAGACAAATATTAAAGTCTTTAATAACCTAATTATATAAATGGTAAACTGAAATATTTCATCAATATTGAAAAATATTAGATTATCATAAAACATTTCTTACATTACAATCAGGTAATTCCTCCATTTTCCCCTTGCTTGAACTAACATCTAAGTCTGGCCAAAGTAGTTTCTGTAAAGAAAGGAATTATTTTAGATATAAATGCTACCATCTACTTTTCTATAAGAAATGTGTATATTTAAATTGTACCCATACAAACTTGACCATATGAAGTTATAAACATATGACTCAAGGCTCATGTGGCTGAAAAAGTTGCTTTCCTGTCAACCACTTCACTTTTTCCTACTGCCAAAAGCAATATCTAGTCCATCTGTTGTTCATAACAGTCACTTTCATCATCTGGAAATTTTCATTTTTACCAAGAAGATGAAACGTCAATTTTTCATTTAAAAATAAAGAAATTCAAAGAAAAAGACAACTTGTTTCTTTAAAATAGTGTAGAAACCATTGACTTTGATAGGTTGGAAGCATGTTAATTCAAAGATTCAAATTTTTATGCAAACTAATCAATGTATTTTCTTTCACTAATCAGGTATATATTTATATTACTGTCATTTAATTTTTTCTTTCTTCACTCTTTCTTTATAAATGTGTAGTATTATCCTGTTTAGAGTAATTTCTCACAATTTGATTGGTAGATATTGTCCTAATAAATTTCAGTGCAATTTTTATTAAGTCAATTCGAATTATCTCCCTTATACCATTGACTTAATACAAAAAAAGGTTTTTTTTAGTTGCTTCTCTTTGTTTATTAACGACATATATGTAATAAAAAAAATCAGGATAAATTCGTTAAACAGTGTGCAATTGTTCTAATACGGAATTTATCATGGAAAAAAACAATAAGTGGTGTCATAAAAAAATCAGGATAAATTCATTACACAGTGTGCAATTGTCCTATTAAATACGGAATTTATCTAGGAAAAAAAACAATAAACAAGTGGTGTGATAACAAAATCAGGATAAGTTCGGTACACAGTATTCAATTGTCATAATACAGAATTTATCAGGTCAATAAAATTCATATCGGGCGAGGCGAAATTCCCATATTAGGACAATTGCACACTGTGTAACTAATAATACATGATTCACTTAATTTCTAAAAGGTTTTGCCACCGAACACTGATGGTGCTGTATTTTTTTTTAATTTGACTCGAGACCACATGAAATGGCACGATATTAAAATCTTATTCATCTATTTGTATGATCAATATTCTATATAACTGTTATCTAACATCAGAACTTACCGAAGAATAGCCTAAAATTTGATCTGATGAGGACTTGTGTTTTTTTGTAAATGTTCCCATCTGGTAGATAAACAATGACCCCTTGTCGTCACCAGCTGTTAACATACCTAAAATATACAAAATATACATTTCCAGTTAATGAGTTTGCAAAAATCCCTCATACATAACAAATTAAAATCATTTTTTTAATAAAGCACATTTATCTGTTTACCTGGGTACAATAAATTAGCCAGGCCAAATAAAGTTAGGAACATTATCTGTGGTTGTATTTTTTTAGTTTTTTTCTCGTAATTAATTTAACAGGGCAGACGTCAATTTTGACATATGGTTAAGACTTGTCTATTAAGTCATTTAATCTTTCCTGATCACCTGAGATGATCCCTGGTTTTTGGTAAGGTTCGTGTTGCACAGTCTTTAGTTTTCTATGTTGTGTTGTGTAAACTGTTGTCTGCCTTTTGATTGTTTTTCAATTTTTTGGCATTGTCAGTATTGTCAGTATTGTCAGTAAGTTTTCGACTTAGTTTAAGTTTGATTATCCCTTTGTTATCTTTCAACTCTGTTTTAAAGTCTTTTTTGGTTTGATAGCATTTAAGGGTTGCTGTCTGATACCGTAAAGCGGGTTATTTTCACAGGTGTAAAATTTTGCGATTTAGGGGCAGCAAAGTATACAAAAAATTTTGGCAGATTTTATTTTGGTGGATTCTCAAATCCCAATTAAATATTTTAGCATAATGAAATTGTTACAGGTAAAAAGTTGTTAAACTTGACAAATAAGTGTCTATTGTTATGGTAAAATGATTTGTTTTTACCTAAATGACGTCTTATTTATTGATTATATTCTGATACAGTTAATAAATAGAATACCTATGACTTAGATATTTGTTACAGGTATTCAAATGTCTTGTAAATTTTACGGTTGATTAGTTACGAAATTGACCGAAACCTTTGTTGTACTTACTAATTAGGTTACAAAATTATCATGAGTGTTTACAACTCTTGTATAGTTTGACACTAATTAATAAGGGTAATTATCTGATCAGAGTACCTTACACTCTTATTCTAATTGACACTAATAAGGGTATACACACCTGACAGTCATTTTATAAAATACATGTATGTACAATGCCCTTTGGCATTTATGTTGTTGAAACATATATACCGCTATTGACTTGCCGACCGGGAAAAATAGCTCGTTCACAAAACACTTTAGCTGTTAGAAAGTACCCAACGTATGTATAAATTTTCACAGAATTTTTTTTCGCGATTTTCATTTATCCGCCAAAATAAGCGAAAAATAACCCGCTATACGGTACATTTAGATTTAGACCTTGCCCTTCAGGGATTCAGTTAATAAATGTTTTTTGTGATGTCCCATCTTATATTCTAATAAACCTACTCAAGAAATAAATAACAATGGCTGTGAAATACTAAAAATACAATCTGAGTGCACATGTCAATCAAATCTGTTTGCAAATGTCAACCAAAAGTTTGTGTGCATATATTAAATGAAGTTTGTGAGAAAATGTTAACTTAGTCTATTTGTATATGTCAACCACATCTGTGTATGTCAACCAGATTTGTAGCTATATGTAAAGCCATATGTGTATATATGGCAACAAAGTCTATGCATATGTCAACCAGATTAGTGTGAACATATCAATCAAATCTATGTGCATGTCAACGAAGTCTGTACAAAAATGTCAACAAGAATCAAGCATATATGAACCAAGTCTGTGTGTCAATGTTAACCAAGTCTATGTACACAATGCACACATGTCAATCAGGTTGTGTGCAAATGTCACCCAATTATGGGTGCATATGTCATTCAAGTCTACATGCAACATAAACACATTTAATTTGATCTGTGTGAAAATGTCAACCAAGATTCATGCACTTTAAACATGTGTCAATCAGGACTGTGTTCAAATATCACCAAGTCTGTTGGCAAATGTCAACTTGTCCTGAACACATTTCAATCAAGACTATATCAAAGGTTTTTGTGCACACATATCAATCAAGTCTATGTGCACATGTCAATCAGTTCCATGTGCAAAATTCAATCATGTCAATCACACATATATTAACCAGGTCTGTGTGCACAATTCAATCAGGTCTGTTCAGACAAGTCAATCCAGTCATGTATTTCTGAATTTTACTATACTTGTAACTTTCAATTTCAGAATTTCAAGGGTTCTGGACATCATTAAGAGCATACAGACAAACTTGATTGGTGAACAACATCAAGAAAAAGAAAATTCAACCAGTTATATAATAACTTTATAATAATTATCTTTTACTTAAATAATTTAGATTTTTCTGAACTAACTATGCAATTACCCATAATCCTTATTCTGAAATTGCATATTCCCTAATCTATTGTCTGATGACCACTCATTGTTATATTACCTGAGGTAGAACTGAGGTTGATATAGTCTACTGATGTTCTGGTATACTGTAATAATGCTGATACTTTGACCTCTACTGTTCTTGTTCCCTTAATAACCTTGACAGGTAGGTTGTCATGGAGATTCCAGATTACCATGTGACCTGAACCATTACATTTGGCTGCTGTAATAGACAAAAAGAAAATAAATGAACAGATGGAAAATCAGGGTTATTTAAGACAAAAGGTCAGGTCTAAAAGATTGCATAAATTTCAATTTTTTTTTAAATTATGTTATAATGGTCAACCCATGTTATATGTCCGTTTCATGCTTGGCACAAGAAGACAAATATATAATTTAACAGTCAAGTCTGGACAATACGACCGTTTTGGATGCCAAATGGCAAAACAACCTTCCCATCTTACTTTAGGCAGCTTACAAATTTACATGAATGCACATTTGCACCAAAATATGCTTGTAGTATGAGAAAGGAACATATATAGGAAGTCGTAAGCTTATTTTCAAGCAATCCCGATTTAACAGACTCATTCCTCAGGGATTCCAGCATTATGTGTAGGAACGGAAGGACAGATGGACTAGATGAGTGAAAAATAGTGCCCCTTCTGGAGTGGGGGTATGGCCAACTCAAATTAATTAGATTTTCATCCAGATTTTTGAAAAAAATGGGGTGGTAGGGAGGATTTAATTTTTTTATTTTTATTTCATCCTTAACCCTTTTGTGACATGTTCTTCATATGCAAGAGTAATAGTAAGCTTATATCATGTATACATAAGGGATTCTACATTATTTTTCAAATTTTTAAATAAATATTTCTGATTGGCAACCACTGTTCTACATCTAATTGCCGCTGTAGAAACTATTTTTAGTAAATAGCTAAAATGTGGAGAAATACTCTCTTGTAGACTACCTTTATCAAATTTATTTTGCCTTCTACGCTATGGTTTGAAGTGCTCATAAAATGCATGTTTTTTGTACCAATGTGGTCCACGATTCTTGCGCTTTGGATATCATTCACAATCCAAATTTCTTGACATAAAGTCGTTGTAAAAATTAAAAAATCCACAGTTTTTGATCCACTGAAATTTGTGAAGGGGAGCGGGGATGAAAATCTATCAAATTCATTTTAATTGGCCTATTATTATCAATTCTAATTATTCATGTTCCTTTCTTTATGGTGGCCAAGTGGTATAAGTAGTCCAACTATTGTATCACTAGCCTGTCAACACTGATGTTTTAAGTTCAAGTACAGCACTTGGCAGGCATGTTAGACTCTAATCTACATTGACTAGGATTGTAAGTTTTCCTACCAAAGGTTGTGGTTCTCTCTCGGCACTCCTCCACTCATAAAAACTGGCCGCCATGAAATAAACAACAGTACTGAAAGTGGCGTTAAATACCAATCAATCAATTTCTTTACAATGTTTAAATACTTACCGATGTAATCATTAGGTAACAATGCCAGCCCATCTACTACTTCAACATCATCACTATCCCCTTTACGATGTTTCAATACTTACCGATGTAATCATTAGGTAACAATGCCAGCCCATCTACTACTTCAACATCATCACTATCCCCTTTACGATGTTTCAATACTTACCGATGTAATCATTAGGTAACAATGCCAGCCCATCTACTACTTCAACATCATCACTATCCCCTTTACGATGTTTCAATACTTACCGATGTGATCATTAGGTAACAATGCCAGCCCATCTACTACTTCAACATCATCACTATCCCCTTTACGATGTTTCAATACTTTAATACCGATGTGATCATTAGGTAACAATGCCAGCCCATCTACTACTTCAACATCATCACTATCCCCTTTACGATGTTTCAATACTTACCGATGTAATCATTAGGTAACAATGCCAGCCCATCTACTACTTCAACATCATCACTATCCCCTTTACGATGTTTCAATACTTACTGATGTAATCATTAGGTAACAATGCCAGCCCATCTACTACTTCAACATCATCACTATCCCCTTTACGATGTTTCAATACTTACCGATGTAATCATTAGGTAACAATGCTAGCCCATCTACTACTTCTACATCATCACTATCCCCTTTACGATGTTTCAATACTTACCTGTAATCATTAGGTAACAATGCCAGCCCATCTACTACTTCAACATCATCACTATCCCCTTTACGATGTTTCAATACTTACCGATGTAATCATTAGGTAACAATGCCAGCCCATCTACTACTTCAGCATCATCACTATCCCCTTTACGATGTTTCAATACTTACCGATGTAATCATTAGGTAACAATGCTAGCCCATCTACTACTTCTACATCATCACTATCACCTGACTCAACATCAGACATTGTACTGGGTATCAGAAATTCAAAGTTAGGATCCCTGCAATATGACAATCAATATCAGATTTTCTACCATGAACGGTTTTAAAATCATAAATTGCAATTGTTATTTTATTGAAAAATTCAAGATATAGTTTACGGATTTATAAAAATGATTTTAGTATTTGTCCATAGCTATATACATTTTGTATGGTATGAGCTTCCATGGTTTTCATTCACTTCAAAATCATTGATAAATGGTACTAACCAATTTAAGTCCCTTCAAAGATTGGTGCAAGGTGTGAATATGGTACAAAATGTGTATTAAACCCTCCAAAGGCTTACATCAGTTATGAAAAGTACTGTATGCTCAGAAATTTTTGCATGCATTTATTATTTCGATCTTTGAAGATTGAACAAAAAAGTGAGATCAATTATTGTGGTTTCAGTAAATGCTGCATACAAAGAATACAATCAAAATTTAAAATGCATATTTTTACTTTTCGTAATATCTTTTCTGTTGCAATTTTCTAATATTTAAAACCTCACACAAATTACTGAATTTAAAGTAGTTGAACCATTTAGAGTATAAACCATACCTAGATATACTTTTCTTGTTATTAAATCTCCATCCATAACACGACTTTTCACATCCAGCTATCAGCATCTGACTCTTCGTACTAAAGACCAAATTCAATGCATCTGTATGTGCTGTATTAAAAACCATCAACTTCCTGTGAACACAAAACATTGTGTGAAACATTTTCGGAGGTGCTCCCAATATGGAGACAGGATACTGTATTAAAAAGTTATATTATCTCAAATGGCCTTTTACTTCTGGTTATATTTATATATATAATTCATGTGAGACCATACAACCTTTCGACACTTTCATAATCCTACAGGTCATATTGAAACCTGGATATTAAACAAGAAGATGTTGTTTTTTTTTTTGGCAGCTAAGGATGTTCGCTTCTCAGTTTTTGACATTTTGTCAGATATTAGGAATCCTCTAGTTTTATCCATGTAGTGCCAATATAAATTTTGCCCGCTAACCCCTACTTTTCTTTTCATTATTGTATTACATATAGTTTAAAAAGCCAGTTTTGAAAATCTTATACAATCCTTATTATTTTTTCATAGTTTTTGAAAGAATAAAGGTGCTAATGTTAAATGTATGAAAAATCTAGAGAGAATCTTTTCCCGCCAAATTTTCAATTGATTATATCTCAAAAGCATTTTTTTCTACTTTTTAAGTTCCATTATTTATATACTATTTATTTATAACCGTCTTTTAAAAAGCTTGTTATTTTGAAACTGAGGAGCAACCATCCTTAAGTTAATTTTATAAAAATTCAACTGTAAGCACCCAAATAGATAATCTCGTGTTTGTGAACCAATCTTTTTGAATGTGTGATAAATATAATTAGGACACAATATACAAGATATAAGTGACAAAATAACCATACATTCACAATTCTTTCATTTGTTTATGACTTACTTGTTATTTGTTGTATAATCTGTGAAATCTGGAACACCAACATCCCATAATATAATTTTTCTGTCTTTCGATCCACCTAAAAATTTTGAAATTTTGGACTTGATTAACTACTTTATGTACATATGATGTTAATTTCATATGATTGCCATTCTGACAGGCAGATAGTTTCATGGATTGATTATGTCGACCCAATAAAACTCAAAATTATTGGACATGTTCCCATTTTCCAGGGTCAATTTCTAATGAATTCTAATTAATTGTATACAAAAAACATGTTTGATTACTATCCCTGATATTAATACTTTTAACAGCAAATTTTTGAACAAATAAAAAGCTTGATTCAACTCGTAGTTACTAGATTTTGGGTTTAAATGTTATAATATGAATTGAATGCACCTTTCTTTGCTTCCATTTACACCTTTATACCTTTTAAATCTTTTCTAAAATATCTTTGAAACCAGCATATGTTAATATTTTCTTAATTGAAAGCCAAATGGTATGGATTTGCATTTCATACTCATATACTGTTTATTTAAATTTTGTCAGGGATTCAAATAGTAAGTATCCTTTCAAAACATTATAATCCTTTTCAAGTTAACATGTCAACATTCTTTGCGGCTTCCTCCACCATTAAAAAATGACCCCACAATATAGCCAATAGTACTGAAAGTGGCATTAAACACAAACAACCAATCGCTCAATCCTGTTATTCTTATTTAAAAGCTTCAGAAACAAGAATGTGTCCATAGTACACTGATGCCCCACTCGCACTTTCATTTTCTATGTTCAGTGGACTGTGAAATTGGGGTTAAAACTCTAATTTGGCATTAAAATTAGAAAGATCATATCATAGGGAACATGTGTACTAAGTTTCAAATTGATAGGACTTCAACTTCATCAAAAACTACCTTGACCAAAAACTTTAACCTGAAGCGGGACAGAAGGACGAACGAACGCACAGACCGAAAAACATAATGCCCCTACTGGGGCATAAAAATGATACATTTACATGATTTTAAGAAATTTCAATTATGTTAACTTTTATGGCAGAGGATAAATTGTAAAAAACTTACTGAACAGATGTGTCGGCTCCTCTGGGTGAAACAACAAACAGCTGACGTAGTCATGGTGACCTTCCATTGTAGCATACATCACAAATTGGGAAGGATGAATTAGTTTTATATAACCATTGTTTCCTAAAAAAAGGTCAAACTTTTTGAAAATATTCAATTGTATGTTTAATGGTGGAATATAAAGAATTCTTAGTTTCATTATACAGGGTACTGTTTCTTGTTTATCCATATATCTCAATGGATAAGATGGCGTCTACTCTAGTCTAAAATATGCACGAAATGCTGATATATTTTAACCAGTCCATGCAATGTTAATTGTTTCTTTGTCAGTTGAATATACGTTTTGAATAGTATGTTATAAATCAAATATGATAATTTGTGTAAAATTGGAAAACATGAATGATGAATTTGACAGCTAATGCTGCTTTAAGGGCATACAGTACAACAGAGTTGTAACATTCCTTTTGCCTGATATCTTATTCCCACTGCAGTAAATTCCACTTGTTCTTAAATAAACAAGTTTGTTTCTCTTTAAATTGCTCACAAATTTTTAATTTGATGATGTTAATGAATTTTTCTGTGAAAATATGGATGGGAAAAACAAAGCATTACATTTGGATGCTTTATTGTCTGACTTACTTGTATAGTATGCCCTTAACTTAATAAAAGTCCTGCTTTCTTGCTTAAAAACAGGTTTCTTAAAACAGTCAAATACATAGAAAAATGCATGTTTTTATGTATTTTAAGTACACTTACCTGCCACAGCCAATATATTGATTTTTCCTTCTTTACTACCGGTCTTGTATGGTATTGTTGACCAAGCCAAGGCATAAAAGTCCTAAAAACAGTGAAATTACAACTAAAAGGCTTTTCAATAATAAAATTCAAAAGGTAGTTTTTATTATTCTTTTTATGGACAGCAAAGGTTTGTTTCAAGTCAAGCAAGTCATAGGTACTACAAACACAAAATAATAATAGTCCAATAATCATATGCACAGAAAAGAAAATCTTAACCAAAAACTGATAAGAAACAAAAATTTTTGATCCATCAGCTTTCGAGATACTGTAAATTCTAAAATTATTGCAATGTTTATTAATGCTAAAAATGCGACATAATCAGTTAAGCAATAATAAAAACTTCCATTCATAATTTCAGTAATTAGGTAGTGATTTTTCTTCAAAAATTAGAATCGCAATGTTAGATCTCAGATTTTTACCATTAATCTGTGATAAGCCATAATAAATGCACGCATTAATTTCTGAATTAACAGTATGTAGGTTTTTGAAAACAGAAAATTCCATGTAAATTGCAAATTTTGGAATTGTTACCTGACAAGGATTCAACTCTATACACCTGAGTTTTTACCTGTTTAGTTCTGGCAAAATAAAAATGTACATTCTTAGGGTTTCCTCCAGAAGAAAAATAAGGTAGGGAGTGAAAATTTCTTTTAAATTATGCTGTTTTTTTTTTTTTTACTTTTAGAGTATCGACAGACCTACTATAATTTTGTATGATTCAATATCAAGAGTGAAAATAAACACTTTAGGGTAGGTGTTTTTTGGGCATAGAAAATACAGCAAACAAGTATCTTTTTTTTATATTTCTGCCTTAAGTCTTTTTGTTTTTGTTGATGTTTGTTTTTTTGTTGTTGTTGGGAAGGGGAAATTAAGAGTATTATAGGTATTTCGCTTCATAAACTTTTGGTCTCAAATGTACCTAATGAAACTCATTATAATGTAGAAATACATGTCACATGTTATCACATTTAAAAAGAGTTACCTCCTCTTTACTACTGTCCTTGTATCTCTTCATCACAATACCTGTCTGACAATCTATCAGGCACACATTTTGACCTCCACAGGTGGCTAAAAGTCTGCTACTTTTATCTGTAAATACAAGTTCAATTTAATGCCAAAATGATTATTTATAACAACAAAGTCGTTAAAACTATGTTTGAATGAAAGGTGATATGGTATTTAATTTTGCCTATGTTACTAATTGGGCTGGGTTTTTTCCTCAGGAAAGGCTGATTACTTTCAAGGTTCAAAAGACTAATAAAAGTGTTAGATAACATTTCATTATCTCATGAACTGCCAGCCATCATCTTTTTCTTTTTACTTGACAATACATGTATAATATACAGAGCTCCAGATAAGAATTCACAAATTGGGTTTTACCAACCAATTTTGATGTAATTGAGTGAAATAGTACTTTTCAATTGCATTATTAATTCAAATTCACCCCTCAAGCAAATATCAAATTGGGTATTTCACCGCCAAGCTCCTGAATGTATTAGGTTTTTTCATCATCTAAATATTGAATTGAGGCATGTCATAATGTAATTATATCAAACAAAGATGTTTATCCACTGTTATCTTAAATACGTTTCTTTCAAGTATGTACTGTAAAAGCAGAAATTTTCGTGGAGGATTTAATTTCGTTTATTTCGTGGAAAGAATATATCCACGAAATTAAAACCCCCACGAAAATTTAACCTACATATAATATCACTTCCATTTACTGGAAACCACGAAATTCAATCACCATGAAATTTTATATAGGGACAAAACCACGAAATTTCAACCCCACGAAAATTTATGTTTCTACAGTATGTGATAGACATTTTATTCAAGTTTAAACACTGACGAGCGATATTTTTGTTTAATTTGTGTATGGTTTGTTTCAACTGTTCTGCCAGTTTTGTATTTTCTGTCAATTTATATAATATGATGTTACTAGTGGGGCAGTAACTGATTACCTTTCTAGAGCACATACAAACACCCCTGGTTTTTGTTCCGGTTATTATAACAATCCGTTGACATTGCTTGTCGGCATTTTATTTTTCCAAGTATGGTAAATGGTTTTGAACAAAATTTTGTCATGATTTATAAGAGTGAAGCGTGAGTCATACTCTGCTTCATTATCATCACATACAATATCAGAGGCGACTTTGGCAATATGTAAATTTTTATTGTTGATATCCATATTCAGCGCTCTCATTTTGTCTTGTCATTGCTAACAGCTGAATATTTGGGTCCCATTGTGGCCCCAAACACTTTCACATGTTGTAATTTTGTTGTCTCACGGCTTGCCGTAGACTTACATTCAGAGTTATATATATATATGAGACCCCCGAGAACCCTTTCCAGGCAAAGAATATCTTATCTGACACTATGTGTCTTTGCTAAAATTAAGTAGTATTTTCACAGAAGGAAGAAAGGACAGTGTCCATGATTTTGTCTAAAATGTAACCTATATTCGGAGCTGTTGCCTTCTCCATTAATAAATTGATAATGTGACTTGCGTACTTTTATGATTTCGCAAAGCGGTCTGCTGTCAAATAGTTAAACAGAATATATGATTTTGTTACTAGCAGTGCTTTTTTCCTCCTCTCCGACTCATGGTCTGCCAAAGAAAATTTTATAAACTGTTCCCTTATGTTTACCGGGGACACAGCTTTGAGTAACGGACAATTCCTTCCAACAGGAACCCCAATCAGATATTTGATGTAATGCTCTATTTTTAGAACGAAAGTAGATTTCCTAATAGTATGAAAATCGATTTACGCGACTACAATTTATTGTTTAGGGTAAATAACGCACACGATAGCCACAATTAGGGTTGGGAACGCTTTTTTGACATATAATCGGGTTTTCCTTTGCATGAATAGGGTTTTGAACGCTGCAATTGTCAATTGAATTGGGTTTTCAATTGTTTTTATTGCATAATCACGCAAATATGCAGTTTATCTGGAGTTTTGGACATAAATAAAAGAAGAATGTGTCCTGGGGACACAGATGCCCCCACTTGTAAATATACAGCAAATTCTGCAATTTTTCAATTTATAAAGGGACATAACTTGAGCACATTGTAAGTGATGCCACCCAAATTCGAACTTGATCTGTGTTTATTGGTAGTAAACATGATGTTGGTGTGTATAAGTTTCATAACATTTGGTTGAGGCAAACAAAATTGCAGAAACAGCAAATTTAGCATTTTTTTCTTTTATAAAGGGACATAACTCTAGAATTGTGAAAGTGATGACCCCCTCCCTTCCAAATTCGAACTTGATCTTTATCTGGTGGTAATTAGCATCGTGTATAAGTTTCATAATATTTGATAGAGGCAAATTAAAGATAAATTGAGGAAACAGCAAATTTGCCAATTTCTCTCCATTTATAAATTAAAGGGACATAACTCGAGAATATTGAAAATGATGCAACTCATATTTGCCCTTGATCTGTGTTTGGTGGTAGAAAGCATTGTGTAAGGGTTTCATAACATTTGGTTGAGGCAAACTAAAGTTAAGAGTGTGGAAATGAAAAATTCAGTATTTTTTTTCATTGTTAAAGGGACATAACTCGAGAACAGTGAAAGAGACGCCACCAATATTCAAACTTGATCTCTGTCTAATAATAATAAGCATTGTGCATAAGTGTCACAACATTTGGTTGAGGCAAAGTAAAGTTAGAGAATGGAAACTTATTTTGGGAATTACGGACAAAAGTACAGATAGACTAGGTCTAAACTTAATGCCCCCTCCACCATATACGGGCATAAAAATAGTGGAAAGTACAGGAGTTTTTAAACAAAAAAAATATTTGTCCATAAGAAACCATTTCAATCTGAGTCAAAACACTTATTTGGCATATATTTTCAAAAATTCCCATCATAAGAACCATGTGAACTAGATTTCAAGTTGATGGGACAACTTCAAGGAAAATCAATCCAAAACTTTAACAAGATACAGGACTGATGAATGGGCAGACAGACAAACTGACAGGGATACTAAGTTATAATACCCAATCCTGTTCTATTCTTTAGACATATGGTTCAAAAAGATAACATCTGGAAATCAAACTTTCTCCAAAAAAGTGTCATAATAGCTGCTGTGGCCTTCACCTTTGACCCATTCACCCCATTCTCAATAGGGGGTTCTTCCTCTCTCCATTGGGTATCATCAAACCAAATTTAGTAAAGATACTGTTTACAGCTTCAATAATTTTGTTCAGAAATTGAAATATTGATTTCAGGACAGCCTGATGGTTTTCATTATATCATAAGCATAATTCACTGCCTCCCAACTCAGCTTAAAACATACCTTTGTTACTTGGTTTAAAAGCACATCTCCAAACTTTTGTCTGATTGTCATTGGGATCATTATTTGTTGAGTGACAGCGGATGAAGAAAGCTGGATCAAAATCACCAACAGATGGCTAAAACAAAAAGAAATTTCAGCATAAAATTGAGAATGGAAATGGGGAATGTGTCAAAGAGACAACAACCCGACCATAGAACAGACAACAGCAGAAGGTCTTCAACAGGTCTTCAATGCAGCGAGAAATTCCCGCACCCGGAGGCGTCCTTCAGCTGGCCCCTAAACAAATATATATACTAGTTCAGTGATAATGAACGCCATACTAAACTCCAAATTGTACACAAGAAACTAAAATTAAAAATAATACAAGACTGACAAAGGCTAGAGGCTCCTGACTTGGGACAGGCGCAAAAATGCGGTGGGGTTAAACATGTTTATGAGATCTCAACCCTCCCCCTATACCTCTAGCCAATGTAGAAAAGTAAACGCATAACAATACGCACATTAAAATTCAGTTCAAGAGAAGTCCGAGTCTGATGTCAGAAGATGTAACCAAAGAAAATAAACAAAATGACAATAATACATAAATAACAACAGACTACTAGCAGTTAACTGACATGCCAGCTCCAGACTTCAATTAAACTGATTGAAAGATTATGTCTTCATCATATGAATATCAGGCACAATCCTTCCCGTTAGGGGTTTAGTATCATACCATCATAACATACATGAGAAGAACAGAACCCGTGTCATGCCAACAACTGGTTTTTAAATAAATGTGTTTAGTGCCGATGCAAAGACCCTATAAGTGAATCAATATTAACGCCAAAATATGCAATCTTTAATGACCTGACAACAGTATCGTAACTATATCCCTTCTTAATAAGTCTATTTAAAGGTTTTGTTAGCTTCAGAGGTGAATACTGACATTTTTGTGCTTTATAAAGAATATTTCCATAAAAAATTGGATGTGAAATACCTGAACGTATAAGAAGTCTGCATGTTGAGCTATATTTACGAATGATGTCCTTATACCGATGATAAAATTTAGTAAATGTTTTGACTAGTTTGTGATATCGAAAACCCTGGTGTAATAATTTTTCAGTAATATAATATAATGCATATTTATATATATATGGAAACATGTTTTTTGTTGACACTAATTATCATGATTTTAGGAACAGTTACTTTTTGGAGCATACATTATTAAGTGTTATTGTAACTTCCCAAAGTAAAGATTTTTTTTTTTATAATGTGTTTTTTTGCCTCCACTACAGAATCCCTGAAATAATAATTGAAAAAAAAATAGTTAAATCACAGTACTTTGTGCAAATTTTTAATTTTGTTGTCTGTTTTCAATTTAAAACCATTTTTAAAGAAATCTCAATTACAAAAGAAAAGTTGAAAATTTTAAATGTTCAAACATACCAAACATGCTGTTTTCTGCTCATCAGTGTTTTTTATGGATGTGGAAACTGTTGGTCTTCTGGTTGGTGTTGATGGAGTTGTGTCCCTTGCCCTCTTTGCTGGTTGACCTTGAGGTGAACTAGTTGGAGTACTATCTCTACCACGTTTTAAAGATGGTTTTGAAGCAGGTGTACATGTCCCACTTTTAGGAGTTAATGGCTTTACCCTCATCAAATCTTTCTGTCCCGAGGACTCAGGTGTTGACGGGGATGAAGGTCCTGAGTCATTTCTGTTCAGCCATTTATGATTTAGACGAGCACTTCGAGGTGTACCTCTAGACATATTTGATTCATTGAAAAGTGATTTATCTTGGGCTTTCTCAACAATCTCTGAAGCAATGTCTTTAAGCTGAATGTACAAAACAATTCATATGTCAAACAAATGGTTGTATGTTAAGTCCAGTATAAATGCTAATCCCCACAACAATCTTAAATCTCCATCAGGCCATTTGCAATAAATTATCTGGTAAAAAAACAATAACAAAAATGTTTCTTTTTTATACTTAAAAATTTTATTGACATAAAAAAGTAAAACAAAATATTCATTTTCTAAAAACTCCAATCAATTTGTATTAAAACCAGTGAATGTCACGTAATCCATAATTTTTTTTTAATAGTTTTAAAATGATGGATGACGTGATGAGAAAGGCTCACATCTCCATTGGATTAGATTAGCTTAGTATGTATGAATGTTTACCAGAAGGTTTCCTCCTTTCAAAAAAGATATGGTAGGGAGGTAGGAAATATTTACTTTTCAACAGAGGTGTAAATGAAAATGTTGGGGAAAACATACAAGAAATTGGGTAGGATATATTTCATATGAAAACCTTATAAACATATTAATTATTTTTTCATCTTATCCTGATGATGAAAGGCTAAATTTGAATTATATTGTGAAGGCAGCATACTTACAATTGCCCATTCAGTTTCTTCAGTAATATTTTTAAACAAAAGGTCAGAGGTCAAAGATGTATAAAACTCCTGAAGAACGTGTTCAAATTGATCACAACTGAATCCCTCTGCATATTTGGCAGCAAACAAAACTTCCCATTTACTCTTCACCTAAAAGCACACATTCATGTAACAGTACATAATTCATAACATCTCACAACTTAACTTCCTACTTAAAAGGTTTAGGAAATGCATCATTCAAACATTTTTTTTAATATAGTTGAAGAGCAATGAATCTGAAAACAGATCACATGGTAAAGCATGTTCACAGGAAGCCTGACAACAAATTTCAGGATGCTCTTTATTGAACTAGTAAAAAGGGATTAGAATTCATACATTGTGTGTTACAATATATAAGTATATAAGTATTCTATTAACAGGAATTTGAGGAACGATGAATAAGAAACCTCATTACAAGGTATAGCGTTGAGTCCCCAGAAGAATTTGAAGAACAAAAACTGAAGATTGTCATGATTGTAGGAACTGTACAATTTCCAATCTCAGAAAATATAAATTTTACTCATATTACTTACCATGACTTCAAATTTCTCCTTGAAGTTTTCCACAGTAGATCTACGTATTTCATCAACAAAATGTACTGATGAATTCATCCTAAAAGCTTTTACTTTATCTGTAAGCTGTAAAAGGGTAAAATGGTAAAATGTGATCTTCTTTAGCAGTGGAGTATATAAACCTACGGAACTACACAATGTACTGTGGATTCATTTGTATTTGTGAAATACCACTTTTCGTGGACTTCATGGGTTTACGTAAACCACAAATTAAAATTTTGAATGAAGTACAAATTTTCTTTAGGCTTGTATGTAGACTTTTGGAAAACCATGAAATCAAATATACATTAATATGCAAATTTCCCTCAATCTACAAAAATTCGTATCATCAAAAAAAAGATTGAGAAAAACCATAAAATACCTACATCTGTCTTGGTACGTATGTCTATTTTCTTGGTGGTCGTTGGTGGTAACGTTACAACGTCAAATTTTTTTTTACTAATAACTTTTTTTTCTTTTAGTGTATTATAATCCGGTTAACGTAAGAATGCTCCCTTTTTCAATATTTTGTGTAATCATTGAAATTAATGACATTATATGAGTAATGCTAATAAATGCAAAACTTTATAAACAATTAATTGGATAATTACTCTGTAATATACATGTATATTTGTCAAATAAAGGTGTCATCCAATTAACATATATCCTTTGTTTTTTTTCTATTATACAAACAAATCATAGAAATAAATCTCTAGCAAATACATAAACAACTTATGTCTAATAGAAAATTTAGTTGAAAGAGACAAAACTACCTAAATATTTTTTTACAAAAAAGGTATTTATTAAACAAAAAAACTTCATAAACTGTAATTATGAAACAAATTTATCAGCTTTAAAAAAGAAATTACTTTGAACTTATTTATTATATTTTCAAATGATTTTTATGATGTTTGTACCTTCCCTTTAACTTTAAATGAATTACACCAAAGGTGTTCACTCTCCCCGTATTACTTTGTGAGAGGAGGATTAAGAATTTAAACATTTATCTGATATGTTTTTTTTTCAATTAATATGTCTTTTTGGAAGGAAAGATAAATTAAGTCATTATATTCTTATCCTACTTATACAAATCGTGCTAAGAAAGAGGTCGTCCATTACCTATACATCTTTTTAATATAGACTAAGCCAAAATACTTGAAAATATTTAAAAATGTAAAATTGTTTATGAAATTTTAAATGAAATATTTAGTAAAATGGTGTCTTCCTGCTATTCCTACATTTTACTTTGAAGGAAAAACAATCCAGTCCACTTCATAATTTTTGGTGATTTTATAAAAACTGATTTGAAAGGCGTATTGCTAAAAAAATATAATATCATGGAATACAATGGACTTATTTATGACAATAGATAATTAAAAAAAAAATCTATATTAAAGAACTAATTTGAGGAAGGATAGAAAAACGTTGATGATGGTGTCACTTGACAAAAAGTAATTCACAGTCAAAGAATGTAATAAAATAAACAATACAAATTTTACAGCACCAGATGCACATCACAACGATTAATTAATGTCTCTTCAGTGATGCTTGAGGCCAAAAATTAACAATCATCATCCATTCTTGATATTTTCTAGCTAAGTGCTAAACAATGAAAATTCATCCAGTGTGAGACATTATTTTCATTTTAGGGGAACGAACATTGAAATTACCCATAGTCATTTGGACTCTTTACTCTTTAATTATTTCCTATGTTGACCTACCTGAATATCATCATTTCCATCTAAGTAAAGTTGTGTACAATTCTTAAAGTTCTGTATAAATTGTAAAGATTTTAAATTGTTGAAGCTGCAATCGAGTGTCTCTAAACGGTTCAAACTGAAGGATTCTGGGATATCTGTAATGCTGTTTTGTGATATGTCTAAAACTGACAAGTTTGCTAACTGCTCTAGTACTGTACAATCCAAGCTTCCATTAATCTCTTTGTCTGAAAGACTAAAATAACCAAAACAGGGTTTTTAATTTAATTCTACATAAAGCATCTCAGTAAGATTACAAAATATTTGTCTTTTTTGCCTCTTAAACTCAACTGCTCTTCTCTAGAAGACTTTGGAAAATAGAATACCTCATATTTTTAATAATGGGAAATATTTCATGAATTTCAATAAATCACAATTTTGTAGTTTTTTACACTAAATCTATGATAAACATACATGTTTTTTTTTTCATGATGGTTTATATATCAGCCTATTTTTTGGTTGGATGGAGAAATTATATAGAAGTTTTAAAAGATGGACATATATGATAAATGCAGTTAAGGAATTTGTTTGTCTCTATTGGTTCAGAAATATAGCAGAATGGGACTAATATGTTGTAAATATTTTACCCCAAACCATGCTTATGTAGACAGCAAAGATACAAACTAAAATATTCAAGATTTTTCAGGCAAAATTGGTTTTTGATTCCTTATCAAATCAACTTTAAATGTTTCTAGGGAATATAACTTACTTTAAACTCTGGACTGCTCTGAGAGATGCTTTATTACACAAACTTTTCACTAAATCTTCTGTTATCTTCATTCTGAAAATACAAGTAATAATACAAAATAACATCAACTTTTAGCCAACATGTGTATGTATACAAGTACCTCTTTTTTACCTCATCTTTGGAGACAACTTTTGAACTATTTCTGAAATCCAAGCCTTCCTGGACTTCAAATTCATCAAAAACTACCTTGACCAAAAACTTTAAACTGAAGCTACCAATAACCTGAAGCAGGACAGACGAACATGTGGACGGACGGACAAACGGACGAACTGACCGAAAAAAATAATGCCCCTAGGTGGGGCATAAAAAGAAATAATTGCAAGAACTTCTCTAATCTCTACAAACAATAACAAACAAATTGTGACTTTTTGTCCTATCAAATTTGTGACTTTCTGTCCTATGACTTTTTGTCCTGGGACGTTCTGTCCGCTTACCTTTTGTTCATTCATCATTCATCAACAAAAGAAATGGACTTATCTGATACTTCAGTTGGGAGAATTTGATGTTTTGAAAATTCCCTGCCCTCGATCCATTAAAAAAAGATATAAAGCATACTTACAATGCTATAAGACTTTATTATTCCACTACATTGCATATTGTTATTGTAAAAGGTCATTCGAAAAGGTCATGAAGGTGAGAGTTTTATTGTGGTCGCCAAGTTCAAGTGATCCAAAACATTTATTTGTTCTAGCAATATATTTGGGATTGTCAGTCAGGAGTACTACTTGTACAAGTTATTTTTATTTATGTGAAGAAGTAAATATCAATATACTTATATAAGTAAAATTGTAAGATACTTATACAAGTGTATTTTATTAACTTGTATAGGTAAATTATTTTAATGGCTTAGTTATGTCCCTTAGACATTTAGATGTTTTTACTTATACCAGTGAAAAAGTCATACTATCTTATTTTCTTGAATTTCTCAGGACTTCTTTGCTCTAATAGAATTTTTAATTGTCTGTCCTTTGCAGATGTCTTTAATTATCATTGAAGTGTAATTTCATGGATAATAAAAATTTCATTTGTCTTTTTTCTTCAAAACACTGCTCATTTACAAGCCTCCAAGGGGCAATTTTTGAAGTCCTTGCGCAATCACTTAAGATCTTTGCACTATAAGTTTCTCTGTTGAATTAATGAGATGAAACATTGAACTCAAAAAAAAAAAAATTATGAGCTAACCAGAGAAAAATTGTTTAAGGCCTGTTTTTAGGGATTGTAAAAAAACATTACTTATCTGTATCTGTATCTTCATATGTTCTGCCAATATAGGCACACCTTCACTACGAAGTAATAAATCCAATCACCAATAGAATTATAATACAGTCTGTACACAATAAGAGTATGTCAATATATTCCTTCACCAATATCACATATCAAGACTTATTTACGGAATTTAGAATATATTTACTTTTAATTAATGATAATAACAAGTAAATTTTTTTAGAAAATTAAGGGGAGATTATTCAAACTTTATAAGAAAATATGAATATAACAAATTTACTTATATAAGTATATTATTATTTACTTCTTCAAGTAAATAAAAATAACTTGTACAGGTACTACCCCTGACTTGTTGTGCCCCATTTTAAATGCATCTTAGTCCGGGCTACTGGCAACCTGGTATGGTAAAGAATTCAACACCCATATCATGCTTATTGTTCTTTGGAAAAAAAAAAATTGTCATGTTTGTGGGAGAGAATGGCTGTACAAATTTATGTTCTTTTGGTGGTACTCCATGTAAGTACTGCTTGTTTGAGATGGAACTGATTGATGTTGTATTTTGTAGAGCATGGTTAATGATGTTTTAAAAATAATATAAAAAATTGCAATTGGGTCAGAAATTTGAATGAACTGCAATAAGTAGAGAGCTACACAGTCAAGTCACAATAACCTTTTCTAATAAGAATCACCTGTTTGTGTAGTACTAAACCCTGGTATTGTCATGAATGTTATACATTCTGAGATTCCTAAAATATTGACAGAGATTAATGTCATCAAATGTGTAATAGGAGGACATGAAAGAAGAAGAGGACAACGGAATAATGCATGTTATAAAAAAAAGTTTGTGAAATGTTTGTGTAGCAGGCAACATCTGCCCAAATATTCAAAAAATTGTTAAAATTAATTTTCAAAAAGGTTTTCAAAAAAAATCACTTATTATATTCCCCTGTCCAAGGAAATTTATAAAACTGATCACTTTTAGTACCATGCAGGACATGAACATTTGAACATCTATATATTTCTACAAATGATTTAAAAAAAATAATCTAAGTATAATTTGCATGCAACAGTTAAACTTTTAAATAGGCATCAATTTGTACATATTAACTTATATTATTTCTTTTTGTATCAAAAGAAATTTCAAAATATAAATAGTTCCAAAACATATTTAAATATAAATGCTAAATCTTTAAATCCAACATCAACGTAAACTCATCTATCTAAAGTCATTATACATATGAATTATCTTACCTTAATATATTCTTCTGTTATCCTAGATATCAATATTCTTTGTTAATCAACTGTCTTCAGTCTAATCAGTCATAAATCTGTCCCTATTAAATAAATAAACACAAATATCTAATTGACATGTATTTTGACATGGGCTGTTTATTTAACAGTTATTTGAAAAACAAATAATAAGATGTGACAATACCCCCTGGGGGCAATGTGTAAGAAAATTGCCAATTAAGATTAAATAAAAATGACATCAAAGAAAATATTTATCAATAGGACAATAGATCAGACATATAATTATCTTGTACATGTATGTATTTCATGTCTTTTTAAATTCATTAAAAAATGAACTTCCTGATGAAAATAAAATAAAAAGTTCCAACACCCTCCCCCAAAAATAAAAGTTTTCACCAGATACAAAAACATTGTATTCTGATCAAATTGTTGCTTTGATTAGGTTGGACCAGGTTTGAAATATTAATGTGAACAACGAAAATCAGTGAAATTTAGAACTGTAGTTACTGCACATTTGCAAATAAGCTAAAACAAAATCAATTAATTGAATGGATTGTAAATTAAGGTGATAAATTAATGATGTATAGAAATATGGCTTTTTTTTTATTGACTGCATAATATTCAGTCAAATATATAATAACGTCTCAAAATGATTTGGAACAAGTTTAAGGCACAGTAAATATTTCCTGCCATAAGTGATGTATGTTCGAAATTGTCGTTATCCACAAAGCCCCAAAGATCTAAACAATCACAACATAAAATTTATTTAATGAAAAAGGTTGATATTAAAAAGATAAAAGACATAACATCTCATTTTATATCTGAACTTATATCTCAGGCTAATGAAAATTTAAATATTGACCAATTATGGAATAAATTCAAAGAAGGTAGTAATAAAATAATAGATGATAATGTACCAAGCAAAATAACTAAATCTAAGTACACCAACCCTTGGGCAAATAGGGATATAGACCATTTATGTAAAAAACAACGTAAAGCTTACAACAAAGCTAAAAAAACTGGTAAACAAGAACATAAAGATAAATATAAAAAATTAAAAGCTACTGCTCAAAGAGAAATAAGAAGAGCCCAGAGCACGTACATGCAAGAAATAATTAGCCCCCAGTTAGAAGAAAAACCTAAATCTTTCTGGCAATTTATAAAAAGTAAAAAAAAAGAAACATCTGGTGTTCCACCATTAAGAGGAAAGGATGGCTTATTATATAGTGAGCCGAATACACAAGCTAACATCCTAAATGAACAATTTAAAAAGGCTTTTACTACCGAAGATACATCCTCTATGCCAAATAAAGGTACAAGTCCCCACCCCACTATGCCAGACATATTTATTAGTAATAATGGCTTATTAAAGTTACTTAAAAACTTAAATCCACACAAAGCCACTGGCCCTGATAATCTGCCAGCATATTTTTGACATAATTTTGCAGAAGAATTGTCTCCATTTTTGACATTCTTTTTCCAAAAATCTATTGCTACTGGTAAAATCCCAACTGATTGGAAGCAGGCTAATGTTGTACCAATATTTAAAAAAGGTGACAAGCATAACGCTATTAATTATAGACCAGTTTCACTAACTGCAATATGTTGCAAAATTCTAGAACACATTATAACAAGCAACATAAGGAAACATCTTACAATTAATAACATATTAAATGATAGTCAACATGGGTTTAGAAGTAAAAGGTCTTGTGAGACCCAACTTATCATCAGTTTACAAGATCTTGCAAAATCATTGGGATATGGTAACCAAATAGATGTTATACTTTTAGATTTTTCCAAAGCTTTCGATAAAGTCCCCCATCAAAGATTAGCCCAGAAATTAAACTTTTATGGTATTAGGAATCAAAATTTAAATTGGATAAATGACTTTTTAGCTGACAGGCAACAGCAGGTACTATTAAATGGTGTTAAATCTTCAAAATTAGCTGTTGATTCTGGTGTCCCTCAGGGAACAGTTTTAGGCCCAACATTATTTTTACTCTTTATTAATGACCTACCCGAACATGTAACTTGCAATGCAAGACTTTTTGCAGATGACTGTTTATTGTATAGAAATGTTAATAATAGTTCTGATGCCAAATTACTTCAAAAAGATTTATCTAGTTTAGTACAATGGGAAGAGGACTGGCAAATGAATTTTAATCCTGAGAAGTGTTATGTTATTCATATTTCTAAAAAAGTAAACCTTCCACTTTTGATTATATATTGCACAATCATGTTTTAGAAGCAGTAAAAGATAGTAAATATTTAGGCGTAACTATAAGCCATGATCTTGATTTGGGAACACATATAAATCAAAGCACTGTAAGCGCTGTAGGCAGTTAACCAAAAACCAAGGCAAACGTAATTATGAAAACTGTGGCAATGTTGCTTCAATTTTTTTTTAAGATTTGAAAGAACAAACATTAAACATTCGTATATTGTACATTTATGTTCAATAAATGAATTGATTATTAAGGCAAATTAATTAATATTTCATCAAGGTTTTCAAAAGCAACTCATATATCAATGTAAATGACCCCCATCTTCATCCCCAAGTGCATGATGTGACTCCATACCTAGTTTGGAATAAAATGACAGGTGATAATAAAACAGTTGGTCAAACATTCTTGGGCTTTACACTGCTTGAAAGATTTAAATGTTTTCTTTAAAATGAGCCATAAATGAAAATTATGATAGGCCCAGAAATAATTTAATAAACAATTAAAGTAAATTCAATAATCTAGACTCATTTTTTGCATCAAATTTTTTTTTATAATAAACAAGAAATAATTGTAACAGGATGCCGTTACGAAGTCTCCCAAACAAAGACCCGATAATTCGTCATTCCCATGGTCTCCTGACATTGGGCAAAGTCCAGTTCATATTGGTTTGGTCTAGTAAAGTGATATGCATATGTGACACCAAGGAGATTGACCCTGTATGTCATTCAAATCTTTTTGAAATGATGAACAGGAATAAATATGGTTTAGGTGTGGGTGTCTCGACCGTTTACAAGTTCTCAAACAGGAGGGGTGGGGTGACCCCAGGGACTCCCCCTATATTTAATTTGATTTGTTATATTGTCCCATACATGAATACATGTGGTTTAAGGGTGGGGATCTCGACCATTTCCAAGATCTCAAACAGGAGGCGGTGGGGTGACCCCAGGGACTCCCCAAATATTTCATTTGATTTGTTATATTGTCCCATACATGAATATATATGGTTTAGGGGTGGGGATCTTGACTGTTTACAAGTTCTCAAACAAGAGGGGGTGGGGTGTCCCCATGGACTCCCCCTATATTTCATTTGATTTGTTTTATTGTCCCATACATTAATATATATGGTTTAGGGGTGGGGATCTCGACCGTTTACAAGTTCTCAAACAGGAGGGGCGGGTGTGTCCCCAGGGACTCTCCCTATATTTCATTTGATTTGTTTTATTGTCCCATACATGAATGTATATGGTTTAGGGGTGGGGATCTCAACCATTTCCAAGTTATCAAACAGGAGGGGGGGTGACCCGAGGAACTCCCCATATATTTCATTTGATTTGTTATATTGTCCCATACATGAATACATATGGTTTAGGGGTGGGGATCTCGACTGTTTACAAGTTCTCAAACAGGAGGGGGTGGGGTGACCCCATGGATCCCCCCTATATTTCATTTGATTTGTTTTATTGTCCCATACATGAATATATATGGTTTAGGGGTGGGGACCTCGACTATTTCCAAGTTCTCAAACAGGAGGGGTTGGGGTGACCCCAGGGACTCACCATATATTTCATTTGATTTGTTATATTGTCCCATACATGAATATATATGGTTTAGGGGTGGGGATCTTGACTGTTTACAAGTTCTCAAACAGGAGGGGCGGGGGTGTCCCCAGGGACTCTCCCTATATTTCATTTGATTTGTTTTATTGTCCCATACATGAATGTATATGGTTTAGGGGTGGGGATCTCAACCATTTCCAAGTTCTCAAACAGGAGGGGTTGGGGTGACCCCAGGGACTCACCATATATTTCATTTGTTTTGTTATATTGTCCCATACATGAATATATATGGTTTAGGGGTGGGGATCTCGACCGTTTACAAGTTCTCAAACAGGAGGGGTTGGGGTGACCCCAGGGACTCCCCATATATTTCATTTGATTTGTTTTATTGTCCCATACATGAATATATATGGTGTAAGGGTGGGGATCTCGACCATTTTTAAGTTATCAAACAGGAGGGGGTTGGGTGACCCGAGGAACTCCCCATATATTTCATTTGATTTGTTATATTGTCCCATACATGAACATATATGGCTTAGGGGTGGGGATCTTGACTGTTTACAAGTTCTCAAACAGGAGGGGCGGGGGTGTCCCCAGGGACTCTCCCTATATTTCATTTGATTTGTTGTATTGTCCCATACATGAATGTATATGGTTCAGGGGTGGGGATCTCAACCATTTCCAAGTTCTCAAACAGGAGGGGTTGGGGTGACCCCAGGGACTCCCCATATATTTCATTTGTTTTGTTATATTGTCCCATACATGAATATATATGGTTTAGGGGTGGGGATCTCGACCGTTTACAAGTTCTCAAACAGGAGGGGTTGGGGTGATCCCAGGGACTCCCCATATATTTCATTTGATTTGTTTTATTGTCCCATACATGAATATATATGGTTTAGGGGTGGGGATCTCGACCATTTCCAAGTTATCAAACAGGAGGGGGTTGGGTGACCCGAGGAACTCCCCATATATTTCATTTGATTTGTTATATTGTCCCATACATGAATATATATGGTTTTGGGGTGGGGATCTTGACTGTTTACAAGTTCTCAAACAGGAGGGGCGGGGTGTCCCCAGGGACTCCCCCTATATTTCATTTGATTTGTTTTATTGTCCCATACATGAATGTATATGGTTAAGGGGTGGGGATCTCAACCATTTCCAAGTTCTCAAACAGGAGGGCTTTGGGTGACCCCAGGGACTCCCCCTATATTTCATTTGATTTGATATATTGTCCCATACATGAATATATATGGTTTAGGGGTGGGGATCTCGACCGTTTACAAGTTCTCAAACAGAAGGGGGTGGGGTGACCCCAGGGACTCACTCTTTATTTCATTTTTGATTTGTTTTATTGTCCCATACATGAATATATATGGTTTAGGGGTGGGGATCTTGACCATTTCCAAGTTCTCAAACAGGAGGGGGTGGGACGATACTGGGGACTCCCCCAAATTATTTGCATTTGATTTCTTTTATTGTCCCATTCAAGTAAATATACATTAGGTGTGAGTATCTCGACCGTTTACAAGTTCTCAAACAGGAGGGGGTTGGGTGACCCCAGGGACTCCCCTATATTTCATTTGATTTTTTATATTGTCCCATACATGAATACATATGGTTTAGGGGTGGGGATCTCGACTGTTTACAAGTTCTCTAACAGAAGGGGTGGGGTGACCCCATGGACTCCCCTATATTTCATTTGATTTGTGTTATTGTCCCATACATGAATATATGGTTTAGGGATGGGGATCTCGACCATTTCCAAGTTATCAAACAGGAGGGGGGGGGGGTGACCCGAGGAACTCCCCATATATTTTATTTGATTTGTTATATTGTCCGATACATGAATATATATGGTTTAGGGGTGGGGATCTTGACTGTTTACAAGTTCTCAAACAGGAGGGGCGGGGGTGTCCCCAGGGACTCCCCCTATATTTCATTTGATTTGTTTTATTGTCCCATACATGAATGTATATGGTTTAGGGGTGGGGATCTCAACCATTTCCAAGTTCTCAAACAGGAGGGGTTGGGGTGACCCCAGGGACTCCCCATATATTTCATTTGATTTGTTATATTGTCCCATACATGAATATATATGGTTTAGGGGTGGGGATCTCGACCGTTTACAAGTTCTCAAACAGGAGGGGTGGGGTGACCCCAGGGACTCACTCTATATTTCCTTTTTGATTTGTTTTATTGTCCCATACATGAATATATATGGTTTAGGGGTGGGGATCTTGACTATTTCCAAGTTCTCAAACAGGAGGGGGTGGGACGGTACTGGGGACTCCCCCAAATTATTTTCATTTGATTTCTTTTATTGTCCCATTCAAGTATATATATTGTTTAGGGGTGGGGAACGCGACGGTTTACAAGATAAAAGTACATCTTCAAATTGAAGGGGGTTGGGATGACCCCCAGGGACTCACCCTATATTTTGGTTGATTTTTTGTATTGTCCTGTTCTCATTACTGAAGACTGCATGTGTCTATCACCTACTGAGTCATTTGAAAATTTAAAAATATAAAAATAGGGTTCTATAGTAAACCCCTCCCTTCTTGAGCCCCCCCCCCCCCCCAAATACCCCTTAATAGACCCCAATGCACAAACAAAAGATTAATGGCTCCGCTAGACATGTTAGTCTCATATTTTTATGAAACCCTAAATAAATCTGACAAACGGTCAAAGTTGTCTTCTTAGAAGGTTTGAGTGGATTCGGTCCGACTTGTCTCGGGGACGAGTTGTCCACATTACTTAAAACATCCCATCAACGTCGATTTCCGCATCTGTTTTCATGACCTCGTTTCATTCATAAAATAACAACAACCTTATTTGGCAAGATAAGTTAGAAATTACCACCCACTTATATAATTTATTTCCTCTATCATAGAGATTTGTTGTACATGAACAATATTCCTGCGCATTTTGCCATTTGGGAAATATAAACGACTTGTAATTACCGATTTTCGGCGATGAAATATTTCATACAATTGTTCTTTGACATCGTAGCCAAAAGCACAGGGGATAATAAACTACGTACGGATTTCTATTGAGCACTACTTCCTATGTGCAACTTCAAAAGTTTTGGGTAGTTCGACGATCATTTAAGGTTTTTCTGGTCATATTTTTTGTATTCCAGAAATAAAAGTATTAAAAAAATGTCCAATTAGTTATAAATAACATAATAACCAGCTAGATAATAACAATGGCACGTATTTCAGCATTTATTGGGTAGAAGACAAATCTAGGGTGCTCGCATAAGGCAGCTTAACTGCCTAACAATATAACCTGTAAGGCAAATAAAACCTTAGGTTTTCTTCGTAGGAACTTAAAAAACTGCACACGTAAGGTTAAAAACCTTACGTACACATCACTTGTCCGTCCAGTCGTCGAATACTCTTCCCCTGTATGGGATCCGTACAAAAAGCAACACATCACTCAGGTTGAGCAGGTACAGCGTAAGGCAGCCAGGTTTGTCTTCAATGATTATAAAGACAGATCACCTGGAGCAGTTTCAAATTTAATTAAATCATTGGAATGGGAAAATTTAGAAATAAGAAGGAAAAAAGCTAGATTAACTATGCTATATAAAATAAATTGGGGGTTAGTGGAAGTTCCTAAGGACAATTTAACAATATCTGATAGACATACTAGGGGGAAACATAAATTTAGGCAAATATCAACAAATAAAGATTTCTATAAATTTTCTTTTTATCCTCGCACTATTTCGGACTGGAACTCACTACCTGAAGCAATAGGTATGTCTGACACCCTGGAATCCTTCAAAAGTGGCATATCCACTCTAACATTTGAAGGAGCCACAACAACTTATTAAACTACAAAGCCACTGTACATAATGTATATATGTTATTGTTAATGATTTTTCTTTGTCATATTATTTTTAAATTAAGTCCATATGTACATAGCACACAAGTTCCGGGAAGTTTTACACTCCTACCTAGGAGTCTACTCCCGTATTCGGAAGAAGAAGAAGAAAGTTCTGCTTGTTCTGCTGGACTCTACTATCCCCATTTAACCACAAAATACAACCAAAGATTTAGTGAAATTTTGTGCTAGAGAAAGTGCTGTTGAAACATTAATTTTTTGGGGGACAAATTTCTAAAACAGCTTTCCTCAAAAATCATATAAACTCAGATGGATAGTTCTCATTAGCAATCATACACATCTCCTTACTTTTATACAGACAAAAGTAACAGGACAGAAAGTCACAATTTTTTGTGAGAATCTTTCTTTAAACATGTGTATATCGTCAAGATCATGTAGATAACATAAAAACTTCTTTAAAAAAATATTTTTTGTATTTTTCTTGAACTATTATATTAAAAACTTTAATAATAATGATCAAATAATTGTTAAGAAAACAAGTTGTCAAAGTGTCTCTGTACTTCACCATGTTCACTGGCTTCATCATGTTCATGGTGCCAAAATATATATCCTTTGAATGTTTAAAATATCAAGATTTATGAACAATTTCCTTAACTGTAAACTGAATATATCTATTAAAAAGAAATTATTTCAAGAACTTTTTTGATATATTCACTCAATTAATTGTGACATTTTGTTCTTTGACTTTTTTGTCCTATCAATTATCAATGATTATATGAATTTTTGTTCCGTGATCCTATTTTCTGTATGTTTACCCATGGTTTCATGTAGTAAGCTACCAACCAATCATTTCCATGACTGTTTTGATATCATGGTCAAATCTTAGTCCAAATAATTATGACGTTTTGAAAGGCTATTTTATTTTTTGCTTTGACGCCTTCCTGCACCTTCTTCATTCTCACGATTCTGTTCCCTGAGCATTCTAAATTATGATTACACAGTACATATAACCTTCTTTAATTTTGAATGTTTTAGACCATTTTTCTTAATTCCTCATCTATTTTTACTATTAGTCTGTTTCTGAATATTTTAGCACCCCATACATGCCATAAATTATTTATTCTTAATTTCTTTATCTCTCTTTTTTTTTTTTTTGCCCTTTAATCCATTGTTTCTATCATGTAAACCCCATCCAGAGACCCGCATATAAGGAAAATCACAATTATTCAGAAATAATTTGATTGTCACAGATTCATTGAACCTAAAGCTTATTACTTACGAGAACAAACAACGTAAACAAACACATGTGGATAGAAGTTCCCGCCAAATTCATCAAACGGAAGTAAAAAAGAAACATATCTGAAACCCACAATCAAGTCTAGGCAAATACAATTTCTCTGTTATAAAGTATATATGTAATAATAATTCTATTTCAAAATAAATATCAGAGTTATGTACGCATATTAAAAACCAGTAGTATAAATAATCTCGTTTGGAAACGAAATATCTTTGTTAGTTACAGAAATGAAACATCTTTTGGTCTTCAAAGAGACCCCTGAATAATTGCTGCAATGATACGTGTTTTCTTTCCCCGTCTCTATCAGTATCTTGTCGAAATATTTTTTTTATTGACATGTACAATTTTATTTTATAATAGTATACAGTACATGTCAACAGATTGAAGAAATGGAGAAGAAATGTGGTTGTAAAGGGATACGATCTTGTATCTTGTGCGAAAAGAAGGAGAAACCCACAAAACAACAGGACTGTCAGAAGTCAGATTGTGTAAGAACATAACCCATTTATCTCATCAAGGACATATAACTTTACGTCCTTGATCTCATTTAATTATATATATATAATTAAGAAATACATCACAGACACTTGTCCCTGAACAAATTACCTATATATATTTTTTATATATATACAAGGTATCCATCTCGCTTTGTTGAGAAATGACACTCGTGTCTACTCACTAACATTAGCTATATTTTGATTCCATGTTGTACTATCCCACTGAAACACACTATGTTGTAAATCTGCATTAATTATCTACAAAATAGTGTATATAAACTCATCATAGGTACCAGGCTTAAATTTTGCATGCCAGATGCACGCCTCCTACACAAAAGACCCATCAGTGACTTGGACAATTTGCAAACCATGGTCTGCTCAAATCAGAAAACATAATAATGACCATAAGAGTTCTGATTCCGCAGCTAGATTACTACTATGACCAGCTGCAAATGTTACACATATATTCAGGACAAGACTATGCCAAGTAGATCAGTCAGGGGAATTACTCAAATAATTGATTTAAAAATCACTTATTTAAGTAGCAACTTAGAAGTTTTGTCACAAATTGTGTTTTTGTAGTTTTACCAAAATTTTAAACATATATATAGGTTCAGATTATATCTTATTATTAGTAAAATTGGAAAAATGAACCTTTTTCTTCTTTTTAATAGCACCTTTGATGCAATCATTTAGCTGTAAATTCTATATTTGTTGAAAAAATGCTATAATTAAGGCTTTGCATAATGAACTTATACTTTCTTAACAGATTTTTCCCAGCAGGGGGAGTAATTTTCCTGTAAAATTCAAGGTTTCATCTTGCAGATTATGTAATAAAATTTTACTGTTCACGATCAAAATTTCACTGTTCGGGGGTGTTGAAATTAGTGGGGGTGATTAAAATAATAATACTTAAAGAAGTGATTTTTTGGAAGAAAATAGAGGTATGATACTTAAACAAGTGATTTTTCATGACATTATCCCAGATTTAGTACAAGGTCATCACCTGACGTTACCGGTCATCTTATCAACACAGATGTTGGTTCTGATAATTTTAGCAACATAATTAGTCCCTGGATCATTAGTATTGTATATTTAAAGCTACAATAAAATTAAATCACTTAGTCTAGTGATTTATTTGTACTACTTAAATAAGTGATTATTAAAGAAAGACAACTCTTACTTCCAACATTTGTGGACACAATGTTACTTGAATCAGTGATTTAAAAATCACTCATTTAAGTAAGTCCCCTGACTGTAGATATGAATGTACCTTATTTTGTACTGGATTGACACTTGGAGTCAGATTTTTACTATGGCAACTCACAACATAAGAAACATTCTACAAAGACACATTTACCCATTAAAACACTTCTTTTTTTAATAGGAGTCGAACTCAAATTAAACTACGGAAGTAGCATGAATATGGTGTCATCATTATGATCTCAAAAATTTATTAGCTAAAGCTTTACTAAATAAGAAAAGAAAGGATATGGGGTATCCATACATAACACAATATCTGTATTACTATATGCACAGCAAAAATCACTTAAAGCAAAGGAACAGCGCTTTTATTGCTGTTCATCATCTCAAATTCAGAATGAGGCCTTCAAAACTTAATTGATTTTAAAATGCACCGTGGGTAGGGGAATTAAGACCCTTTTGATTTTTAGGAAACACAGTCAAAGGCCAAGATCAAAGCATTAATTGGAAGGTATGAAATTTTCACAATACCAAATTGTAGAAGAAACATCAATTAAAAAAAAACATGTATCTCAATATATGTGATTATGGTTCAAATTAAATTACTATGATTAAAAATAAAGAGATGTGGTATGATTGCCAATGAAATGTCACAACTTTCTGACAGAGTCCATTATGGTCCAAATGATGTGTTTCAGTCTTGTTCATATTTCACCCCTTTTTGATTTTTAGGTAGATATATATGATTTTTGTTGCCATTGTGGTAAAGCTTGGCTACAGTCTTCGCAGAAGTCAGACATAGATGAAGGAAAATTGTCAAACTGTGAAATGATTGCTACCCCACAATGTTGTGAAAGTCACGATGAACAGGGAACCAGAAAATTCATACATTTTCCAGGAATACAGATTTATTGTGATTTTATCAGCAAAACAGAAGAACAAACAGTCTGTGATAAGATATATGAAACACCGTTTTGTTTATCACAGTCAGGGAGAAGAAAGCAGGTAAGATTAATGTAACGAATTGAAGGTAGGTTGGCAGAGTGCACACGAAAAACATGACAAAAGCTCATCTTTTTAATAATTTTAAGTATACTGTACATTGTACTCGTACTTCATCATTTTGAAGATTTATATTTATACCTAAACCTATATATAGAATGAATGATTCATTCCATATTCTTTTTTTTTCAAGTAGTCACAGAACCATGAAAATGAAGTCAAGGACAATGGACATATGACAGACGGAAACTTCATAACATAAGGCATATATATACAAAGTATGAAGGATCCAGGTCTTATAGGTTTAGGTTCAATGGAGATCGTTATGTTTGGATCACAGACAAATTATGATGTCATAAGGTTGATGTGATGTAGTTATTAACCTGATCTGGGTTTTTTGTGACGTAGCAACATGCTTTTTTGATAATTTTATGGAGACATCATAGTTTGTATTATGCATAAATGTCTGATTATTTATTGGCCTACCAAAGACTCTAGATTAAACAAAAAGGCACAAATACTTATGTTTAGTGTTGTTATGGTTCAGTAGATATAACTCTATACATGTCGAAATATTAAATTTATTCTTACAAGGCTTAGAAACAGGTAGATTGTGAAGCATTACCAAACACTTCTATCCTGTTTCGAGCTGAGTACCAAAAAAATTTTCATTTCAAGAGAATGTATGGTTATTCTCTTTATACTGCAACTCTTACAATTGCTCCAAATGAAATATTTCAGGTAAAAACCATCAATTTTGAATTTGAAGCGGACAAAGTAAAAATTCTGTGAACCTGCTTTCTTAACTGACATCATAAGAAATCTCTAAGGAAATGCAATGTCAACCTCATATACAGGACAATATACAGTCAGTGACCGTACATCAAAAATAAATATATGTAGTCAATTTAATTTGACTGCGCAAATAGCACAGTTGCAGTGTAAAAATGATAAACAGTTTCAATATGTTTTTCAGGACTATGGACCGAAGGTGAATTTCAAAAAGCAGAAAATAAAATTAGCAGAGTTCACAGGACTTCCAGAATTTAGCAAAGACATATACGACAGAATAAAGAGGGTAGAAATTTTGTCGGATTTTAAACCAGTTGAACTGTGTAACTTGGAGTATTCAGCAGAAAGGGGAGCTTCTATTGATCCCCATTTTGATGACTTTTGGCTTTGGGGGGAAAGACTTGTCACATTAAATCTTCTATCTGATTCAGTTCTCTGTTTTACAAATGATGATGTTCCTGGGACAGAGGTGCATGTGCCGATGTTTCGAAGATCTTTGTTAGTAGTTTACGGTCCAGCTCGAAACATATGGAAACATGCAATACATAGATGTGACATTAAAGACAAAAGGATTGCTGTTACGCTGAGGGAACTATCTAATGAATTTCAAAAAGGAGGAAGCAGGGAAGAAGAAGGAACCAACTTACTAGATATAGCTCTTACATTTAAGGGTACAGCTATTGGCATGAAAAAGAACTCGGAGCATTCTGAACCTTGATATCTTTTATTTTGGCATAACAAATTTGATACTTTTATCTTTTCTGTTGAATTGTTGAAAATGAAACAAAACAGCGATACAACCAGATTTAGTCTATTTAAGGATTGAATTTTAAATAACTTGCTACGCTGGTTATTAAGTGTGCACCACATTTTTTTATTCCATTTTTAAGGAGTATAACATGAAAAAAACCTTTGATGACGTCACGGTAACATGACAAAATTATGTCTATGAGATGATAGACAAAAAACTTTCAGTCAATCAGAAGACGTGTTACATCCGTAATAAATTTTTTTACATGTGATATCAATATTATTATTATCAATAAATAATTGGTTAAACATATATCTTATTCATGTTATTGAATACTCTAGATAGCTAACAAAGGAATTACTGTCTTTAACATTAAACATGTAATTGGATACAATGTAGTTAGGACATTTATAGTGTGTGAGGTTGGAATAACAGTTGTAACATGATATATGAATGCTTGACAATCAATAGACACATTGAAACCTCATTTGACAGAACTGTTGCTTATGAGGTACTTTCTGATTGCTGTTACTTTTGTGGTTTTTTGTCAACATACATGGCCCTGGTGGCCTTTTTTAATTTCTGATTACCTGAACTTAGGAAATCTTCTTCTCAGAAAAGACTGAATAGAAATTTGACAGACAAGTTCATGTCCTTATCAAGTGTTGTAACTTTGATTTTAATAGAAGTCCAGTATTGCTTCAGTGGGGCCAAAAAGTGATTAAATTGGTCCAATTTTAAAATTGACCACCAGCTGAATTGAAAGCTTACATGTACATTAAAACCCTATAGGAAATCACATTTTTCTTTTATTCTCAAAAAACAGTTGAAGTTACAGGAAAACAAACCATACAAAAATAAAAAGGAATTATCAAGTGTTGTTGCTTAGTCCTTATTTAAAGTCCAACATGGATTGAAGGGACAAAATAGTCCCATTTTCAAAGATCTCAATTTACCACTAAACAAATGAAAGCAAAATAGCAAGACATGTTTATGTTAACATCAGGTATCATGGTTATTAGTTTTTTTTTCTTTGGTGCCAATCGATAATTAAAAATGGCCACCATCAGAAGTCAAAGTTTCATGCTATATGGGGCCAAGTGAGCTTTTCTCATCACTTTGCATCTGTCGTCCGTCGTTGTCTGTTCATTTTTACAAATATCTTCTCCTCTGAAACTACTCAGCCAAATTTCACCAAACTTAGCCACAATCATCATTGGGGTATCTAGTTTAAAAAAATTACCCTGTTTGCCAACCAAGATGGCCAACAAGGCTATAAATAAAAATATGCAAGTTTTGTCTATTATTTTGAAAACCACTATGAAAAGAGATAATCTTACAGAGACAGAAATGTTCAGAATGTTGAGCTCTACCTCTAGTCTGTTTACATCATTACTGTCAGACTACTTCTTATAGGAGTTATTGCCCTTGCATGATGAATTTTACCCTTTTTGCCTTTTATCTTGAAAACTAAAATGTCTGTTCATTTTTACAAATATAACTACTATGAAAGAGAGAAACTTTAAATAGCAAAAATGATCTGCAAGACCAGATCTACGAATAAGTCAATAGTCAGACGACTCCTCATAAGAGTTAATTTCCTTTGATTACGATTTTATTTTTACCAGATTTTGTTTCCCCTGCAACAAAAGTCGCATAATGCGAGACATATTGATTTCAATCCAGTGGTTGCTCTGTTCTAGACTATTTGGATTAAGCTTGATATTTCCAAGGATAGAAGACTTAGAGGCATTATACCTTGTATACAGATGTCTTATATTACGAAGTTTCTATCATATGTGCATTGTCCTTGACCACATTTTCATGGTTCAGTGACTGCTTGACAAAAAAGTTTAGTTTTTTGGCATGTGAATTTCTTACTTTCACCTGACCTTGAACTCACTTCATGGATCAGTGATGAAAGTCAAAGTTATGTGATAAGGTTCATTTCTCAGATACTGGAAGCAGTAGGTTATCTATATTTGGTGTATGGAATGATTGAAAGGTGAGCATGTCAGTCTGGCAGGTTTTATCTGACCATGATCTTATTTTCACAGTCCATTGGTCAATGTTAAGTTTTTGTGTTTTGGTGTGTTTTACTAATACTATAAGCAATAGGGCAACTTTTTTTTGTGTTTGGAATTATGGTAAGGTGTTTATATCTGTCTGGCAGATATCACCTAAACCTGACCTCATCTTCATGGTTTATTGGTCAATGTTAAGTTTTAGTAGTTGGGTCCTCTTTTAAGATAATATAAACTACAGACCAACTATATTTGGTGAATTGAATGATTGTAAGGCGAACATGTCTTTCTGGCAGTGTTCATCTGACCTTGACCTCATTTTCATGATTCATTGGTCAATGTTAAGTTTTCATGGTTAAGTCTGTTTCTTAGATACTACTTGTATAAGCAATAGGTCAACTATATTTGGTGTAAGGTCAAGGAATGATTGTTAAGTGTACATGTCTGTCTGGCTTGGTTTATCTGACCATGATATCATTATCATGGATCAATGATTATGTTAAGTTTATGTGATACTTGTAGTAAAACTGTAATTTTAAGATTATCAACTTAAAAGCATTCATTGATAGAGAAACATGACTGAACTCTTCTGTCGACTCCTTATTGGAGTTATTGCTCTTTAATTAATGACGATTTTTACCAATTTAGTGTTTTTGTCTATTATTATGAAAAACTATGTTAGAAAGATAGACACTTTAAAAGCAAAAATGGTGAACGTGACAAGATTATCTACAAATATGTCAACATGATCAAAATTGGTAGTCGACTCTTTAATGGAGTTCTTGCTCTTTAATGACGATGTTTATCTATTTTTGACGTGTATGCCCATTATCTTAAAAATTATAAAAGATAGATAGAAACTTATAATAACAAAAATGATCATCAAGACAAGATCTACCAGCAAGTCAAATTTCCAAAATAGCTATTTGACCGTTATAGGAGTGATTGCCCTTTAATAGCGATTTGTGTTACCCTCTTTTGTGTTATTGGCAAAAACAAAAAAAAGATAGAGAGACGCTGTAAACAATAATGATTATCAATACAAGATAAAACAAAAAGAGATTTTTGTCATGAATTCTTTTCTAGCCTACAATGCTTGAGACTGTCCATTGTTGAAGATGCACAGAAACCTATATAGGTGAGCAACACATCCCATTTAGAGCTTCTAGTTTTTCCTTCTTTGTTTTGTTTGCCATTATGGGAAAAATAAATCCAGTTTGGTGATTTAGATGTCTAGGAGCCTCTAGGTTATTCAACATAAAACTTTGGTAACCTTTTTCTCCTTGGATTTCTTGCTTGTTGAAATCACTGACACCTATGAGAGTCTATGAGAGTCGTGGGTGGTTTAGTTTTGTTCGATTCTGCAATAAACTATGGGAAAATAACACAGGGGCTAGGATGAAGTTTGAAAATAAAGGCAGGACAGGAGTTTTGAGTAAAAAAAAAAGGCAGGATGACAATTTATGTAAAAAAGTCAGGATAAACTAATAAAAAAAAAAGGCAGGACCGAATAGAGTGAAAATTAAAAAAGCAGGACAGATTACAACTAAAAAAAAATACAGGACAAAATTTTTCATCCTAGCCCCCCCCCATAAAATTCAAATAGTAGCTCTCCCTTATTCAAAAACATTTTTGTTTAATATTCATGCAGAAATAGTCGTCATACGAAAAATAGGCGTGGCAAATTGTCTAAAAAAAATAGATAGCGAATTAAACATATCCAAGCTATTGGAACAGATGGTGATATTGCAATTAGAAACGCAGTTGTAAGTTGTTATGAATCCATTGTGCATTTACACAAGGGGGGTTACATAGAATCCTAGCTAAGCGAGCTGAGACCACCAAAAGCAGCAGCAACAAATATTTTATCAGAAATATTTGGCAGAAATACTGGTAGTATATATATGAAAGTGGCACTATAGACTCGGAAGATGCAATAGAGTGTGACAGAAGTGTCCATGATCTGAAAGCTACATGGGGTTGTTTAATCCCAACGATCCATACCTGGTTTAGGGAGCTACCATTTGATTTTTATGGGGGGGGGGGGCTAGGATGAAATTTGAAAAAAATAGGCAGGACAGGAGTTTTGAGTAAAAAAATAGGCAGGATGAGCAACTTGGCAAAAAAAAAAGGCAGGATGACAATTTATGTAAAAAAAGTCAGGATAAAGTAATAAAAAAAAAGCAGGACCGAATAGAGTGAAAAATAAAAAGGCAGGACAGAGATTACAACTAAAAAAAATGCAGGACACAATTTTTCATTCTAGCCCCCCCCCCCCCTAAAAATCAAATGGCAGCTCCCTTACAGCAAATGTAACCAATTTGTTCAAACCCCACGTTTTTAAAGGAAAAACAAATCAAGCACACATGGAAAGCCATTTTCAAACAATAGACAATAGAAAGTGTGAATGACAATGTAAAAGACTTGATATGAAAACTAGGTAAAGCATTTTTCTCTAACGAGAAAGACAAATATGTTAGATATACTTACTGGAGGTGTGATGAGATGAATAAAGCACGAAATTTTTTCCTTGACAACATATATGTACGTTTCGGCAATAAAGTTTATCGACAAATTGTAGGTATTCCTAAGGGCACCAATTGTGCCCCTTTAACAGCGGACTTGTTCCTTTACTGTTATGAATCATAGTTTATGGCCAAACTCAGTAAAGAACCGTCTAAATTCCTTTTAACTGATAAATTCAACAACACTTACCGTTATCTTGATGACATGTTTTCGTTAAATAATCAATAATTCTCTAACTATACTGCTGAAATTTACCCAAAGGAAATTACTTTAGATAAATCTAATATCAACAGCAATAACTGTCCTTTCCTAGATTTAGATATTTGAGTATTACACCAGAAACTCTACACCAAAATTTACGACAAAAAGGATGATTTTTTATTTTCCCTATTGTTAATTTTCCCTTTTTGGACGGTGATGTTCCTTTGTCGGCGTCTTACGGTGTTTATATATCCCAACTCGTTCGCTATGCTCGTGTTTGTAGTGACGTTTTTGAATTTAATGAGCATAATCTATGCATTACTAGTAAATTATTAAGTAAGGGACTTTGTTACCACAAATTACTTAAAACCTTTACT